ATGTTTCGGGCCTTACTTTCACGCACGGGACCGTCTGCTTACACTCTGCTAACGTTAACAGTTTGCTAACAGTTACTGAAACGTAAAGCTACTTTCAGATACGAACACTACACCTCATACCCCTGACGTTAACCATATTTACACTGATAAAGGACTCGGCTACAGGCCGATTTTGCAAGTCAACATGTTAATTTAAATGAACTTTCTTGTAATACCTAAGCACTGCATTATGTACTTCAGCTTGTCAAAACTGTAAAAGACAGATGTAATGGGCTGGTAGTTCAACATAAATCCATCGTATTTGGTGTTATACCAAAAGCATGTGTTTTTGTTTGTTTCAAGCTAATATGTTACTCACGCTCATACAGAGCCATCTGCTCCACTCAGCCGCTGTGAAATTATGTCCCTCAGCTTTGAACGGCTCCTCAGCTCCAGTGGAATCATGGGATTGGACAGTTTGCCGTGGTCGCATACTTCAAAATTTCTGCTGATGTGGTACCAGAGCCGGTTTATGAGGAGCCTGGCCTCTTCCTAATTTGCATGTTATATCAAAAACATGAATGCAAAACACCAGAGGGCGCCCGCGAGCGAGTCCTCAATGAATGGGAATAGATGGAGCTAAACAGCTAAAAACGAAAAGTTAAAATAGTTTCTAATCACGTGCCCAGAACTTTCCTTTAATTTTAGAAAGTTGAAGGATGTATTTCATTTAAAAAGCAAAGAAAACTTACCTGTATGCTTCCTTTTTTCCAAAGCAAATGGGTTTTGGGGAGCAGGACGCTAGCATTACTGCTACTGAATGCTGATTGGTTGGCAAGAGGAGCAGCTCGTTCGCTATTCGTGCTCGCTGACGTCATGAACGTACATGTCATTAACTCCTTTGACTAAAGTTTAAAAGCGCTCAAAAATATAACGGCAGTGTTTAAATGTTTTATGCTGTTCTGTGTTCAGGTAATAAATGTATTATTAATTTTAAAAATATTTAAGCATTTATAAACTATGATTTTGCTCAAATGCTCCATCTTAACCCACTGATTTTGGACTCTCTCGGGAGGGCCCTCTAGCTTTTGAGAAACCCGGAAGACATTACCCGGAAGAGTGGTAATTCTCCTCTTTACAAGTTCTCTGGTAGTATGTCATCTGGGGAATTTTCGCATACTGTTTTATGAATACTACATATTCAGACACACTAATAATTCTTGTGTATTAAATAGTATGGGAGTATGCCATTTTGGATGCAGCCGATCACTTTACGCACTACTAGTTAAGATGTGCTGTAAGTATCTGTGGTGCAACCGAAATTCTGTGTTGCTAGTTTTAAACTAACTACTCTCAATGTAAGGTTTAGGATGGACTTTACACTCCAACTTACAACCATTCAGCTGGTGCAATTGGCTGCTTGACATATACACATACTGGACAGAAGGCAGGCAACACCCTGAAGAGGTTACCAGTCCATCACCAGTCCAGCACAGGGCAGATATGCAGACATGTACATTCATTCACTCAGACAATTTTACTATCTCCAGTTGGCCTGACTGCATGTCTTTGGAATCTGGGAGCACCTGGAGGAAGCCCACACGGATACAGGGAGAACATGAAAACTCCTCACAGAAAGGACCCTTGTAGCCCGGCCAGGAAAGCGAACCCAGGCCCTTCCTGCAGGGAGGCAACAGTGCTACCCACTGCGCCACCATGCGCCCCACGTGACAATATTCAGCCATTTTAATATTTTTTTAAGAATAAAAAAAGGTCATGTTGCAAAACCATAGCACTTAATGTTACTTAGGTGTGACATGAGTTTTTATAGCCTAATATTACATTCATCATTAAGTCACTGCCATTTTCTGCTGGTTTTATGATAAAATGTTTCGTTTTAAACCATGATGAATAAGCCGCCAACTCTGAAAATGGTCAGGAGTTCTCAAGTGTGATGCAGAATCCAGGAACAGTCAAAAGGCTCAACAAAAGATGAAGCTCCTCAACACAAAATAAGGTACCAAATACCAAAATAACGAATGAATATTCAAGCATTCAAATTATTTGGGCCAACCTAGTAAATGTATTTGTCTTTGTGACCTCACAAATGATAGATTTTATAAAGACAGTGCATATAAAGGAATGTTTCTGAACAGTTAACATGACCCACACACATCCATAGATTAATCCATCATGATCTGTACTGCACAAGAAATGCTTAGAAATTATTCATATGCACACAGAAGACTGAACAATGAGAATCCTCACCGTCACTCCTGGCTTTGCCCTCACTGTCTCGCCTGGTAGTTTTCTGTCTGGCCTTGAACAAAAGGATGTAAACATTCAAAACATGTCCCGTCTTCATCACTGCACTGATTTTATTCTCAGAAAGTAACCAGGGCCCAATTTACAGCCTCAATCAGCACTGAGTCTGAGAACAACCCAGCAGTCACACAGATCACATGTAGATCAAACCGCACTGAGAAGATGAACAGGGAACTCTGCGTCTGCAAAAACAACACATGATGCTGAACATACAGCATTTAAAAACAAAACAATACAAACAAATCTTACTAATGTTAGTTTCTGAGTTGGGTGATTTAGGTATTTTACTGTTGACCCCTCTGGAAAAGGTTTAACCTTTCTACAATGAGCTCACACAGCTGAGAGAGAGAGAGAGAGAAAGAGAAAGAGAGAGAGAGAGAGAGAGAGAGAGAGATGGATGGGGAGGGAGAGAGAGTGTGTGTGTAAGAGAGCAATGAGGGGAAGGAGGGTGGAAGAGAGGGAGAGGGGCAGAGAGGGAGAGGGGAGGGAAAGAAGAGAGAGGGAAGGAGGGAGAAAGAAAGAGAGGATGACAGAATACGAGAGTAGAGATAGAAGAGGGAGAAAAAGGAAGAAAATGGCGAGAAGGAGAACGAGGTGACGGGGAAGTGAGGGAAAGAGGGTTACAGAGGGAGGAACACGAGAAAACAGAAAGAAAATGGAGCGAGAGCGAGAAAACAGGGAAAGAGAAAGAATACAAGAGAACAGAAAGAACAGGAACAGAAAGAGAGAGAGGGAGAGGGAGGGCAGAGAGAGAGAGAGAGCGAGAGAGAGAGCGAGAGAGAGAGCGAGAGAGAGAGCGAGAGAGAGAGAGAGAGAGAGAGAACACGAGAGAACAGAGACAGAGAGAGCGAGAGAGAGAGACTCATTTGGGCTTCTGTCATCTGTATTCATGTTCAGCAGGCTGACAGAAAAATAAAAAGTGCCATTTTCTGCCAACAGAGACAACAGACACAGAGCTAATACATTTTCTAAGAAGCTTAAGGCAATAAAGAAGTCCTGTTCCTCACAAACTGCTCTAATAACCTCACACTGCTTTCCTGTGACTCTGAACAAACAGAAACAGCATGAAGTAAATATACTTTACAGTATAAAGAAAATCATCATTACTACAAAAATGACTGATTTAAAGGTTACGATATAAGAACATTTTAGAGCATAACAAACTGTACATATTCAATGATAGGGAAAATACAACCATGAATTAATTAGCACAGCATCTCTACTAAAGCGTCATATTCGGTATTCAGTATTATTAACTTTTTAGGTACATTGAACACAGATCAGTCTGAGGTCATTTGAAATTACAACAGCAACTCACACTCAGCGCCAGGCATGAGAGATAATATTGCAAACACGGGTCCCACTTTCACCAGACAACCCAAAAACACGAAGCACATGGAGGACAGCTTAAAAATACTGAAAAACATTTTAGAGCACAGTCTGATGTAAACCAGCAAAAATCAAGATATATCAAGAAAATTCTTTAGTTTTTCATGGGTCTATATCAAATTTCTCAGAGTAAAACACTGAACTCAGATCGGCCCATACCTTCAATTTGACATTGAATTATTTTTTTTAATGCATAATGTCCAATCACTTTTGTTCAGTTTATAAATCGCTGCTGTCTGACCAAAACCTTGCATCTCCATTTTTGATATTTTTCAGTTTGACAATTTGAAAATACCTACTGTCCTTTATATTGAGTGTAAATTCCATGATAAATGGAGAAATGGCCCAGAATTACTTGGTAAAATGTCTGGTTCCATAGACTTACATTAAAAGTAAAGTAGGTTTTTTCCTTCTCCTGTAGAGTTACCATTTTGGAGATATGAGGTTTTGGTCCGACAGTAGTGAAATGTTTGTTTTGCCAGTTTCATTGTACTGTTTTAATTGTCTAATTGATAATCCATTAAGTCATATAAAAGATGTTCCGAGTTTAAACCAAGGTCTGAATTGAATATAATGGCATGATCTGAGAAGAACTGATTCAAGATGAGAGCTCTTACTCTGAGATGCTTGATAAATACAGGCTGTTTATGTGTAAAGGCCTTAGCCTCTAAATTAAGAGGCTTTTCTCAAACAAGCAGATAGTGGGACACTTTCTGTTTAACCTTGGCCATATTTAGGGCCTGCATTGTCAGATTTGATAAGTGAACAGCTGAGGAATTGCAAATGCAAATATCAAAACCCAACTAATGGAACACAACTAAGTACGCACCCCATCTTTGTGGCCGACGTATTTTTGCAGATAAATAGAGTAATGTCACTCTGATACTGGACAGCCAATGAGTACACATGAACACCACCGCTATGCTAATAAGAGTCCTTGGGCAAGACTCCTAATATTACTTTCACCTACAGTTGTGAACGGCTTTGGATAACATTTTCTGCTAAAAAAAATATTCACATGACAAAGTTAGCAGTAATTGTCATGCCTGATTTTGCTGTCATGTATACAAATGGCATTGTTATAGTCCTATGCGTATTCCACTTCTTATGGATTAAAATGCAGAACAAAAATAAAGAAATAAAATACACACATTTTATTGGTATCTGTATTGTCTACAATTATTGGTGTCAATTATCACCCCAGAAGTATGATATCAGGACATCCTTAAACACATCAGCAGACAATGCTCCCTCTTCAGAGGAAAACACCTGCCATATACTGTAGCACAACTGAGGGGAAACTCAACTTTTATTTTGGGTTTCAGTAACATTTATTGGGCATTCACACTGGACACTATTATACCAACCCTCCTATGCAGCGACATGAGTGACAGGCCGCTCATGTTAAGACTGGTGACATTAGAGCAGGCCCCTGTGGTTAGCAGTATGGTGTAAAGTCTGTAGTGTTCCTCCACCACAAACCTGCTGCATACTGATATCCGTCTAAGACGTCTTCAAACAAATATAATCAGAATAAATCAAAAATAAATCATTGTACTATTGGACGGAGCAATAAATATTGAGGAAATTTTTGCAGTTTAAAAAAAAAAAGTTTCAGCAATTTAAAAAAAATAACAAATGATCATGAACATACAGAATTTAGCTAACAATCCAGAGAATCTGACTATAGATCACCGTCAAGTTTATTTGTACAATCATGAGTAGATTGAACACAAATATAACGCACACTGCCGTTTACAGCTCATTAAACCTCACACTGAAACAGTTCACATGCAGAGCATTCATCCACACTCTCGTACCTTTGAAAAGAGGCTGACGGACTTGAAGCACGATTATTGGAAATGCAGTAGATTCATTAAGAAGGTCCTTAATGAGTCCTCGAGACATTAGAGAGAAGTAGCAGATGAGCTGGGTGGCTGCATGTCCATCGTAACGTTCAGTGCACACGGCTGAATTAGTCAGTGCGTCCCAGACTGCAGTGCTCCAGCAGCCTAACTGCTTCAGGCCTACAGCAGAGGACAGTTGGGACAGTAGATTTACACCATATCACTAATCGCACTGACCACAGCCCAGGGGCTACAAGAGCTGCTTCGAGTCTGGGCTGTATGGCGCAATGCCGGAGCTCCGTAAGGTCAGTGAATGTAGCACTATGCTCAGTAACCTTGGCAGGGTATACGATGCACCCAGCAGCAGAGAAGGCGCTTACATATGCTAACTAATGGACGATGACTCACGTACACGCTAACCTGCACACACTAAACCACACTTGCGCACGCTATTTTGCACATGCTAACCAGGGATGCACGATAATTATCAGTATCGGCAGCTAATTGTTTAAAAAAATATTTGCAGTTTGGTTTTGACTGATATTTCAAACCGATATTTGATATTTACTGTACTCTGTGAGAACAGAATGTTTAGGCCATACTGGGCTACTATGGTAAAACATCTGCATTTAAGTATTATAATTATTATTATTATTATTAACTAGATTTGTAGCCTACATTAAAAAATGCTTTATTTATTTATTACAGTAATCCAGGTAGATCCAGCCCCAAGTTTTACATTTTATACATGTTTAAGTGTCGGCACATCAGCACCAGCCGACGTTCCCATATTGGCACATCCCTAACACTCACTGGTGCTCTTGCTAACCCTTTTTCGCGAACTCTTGCTTGCTAACCAGTGCTTGCTCTACCACATTCGCTACTATAAAAAAGAAAGTGGTCAGGTTGCCCCTTGCTGTCTGCGTTCAAAACAACAAAGTGGATGTGTTCCACATTACATGACCAACAAAACTTGCCGTGATATTCCCATATTCAGTTAAGTGTGACATTGTGTCTGGGATCCAAATGATTAAATGATAATAAGACATAAAATACAGTTTTCACAAGCGTTACCCAAAACGGACCACAAAGTTTGTCGCGCCGATGTCATCCATCACACATCGCCCTCAAAGCAGCACTCACTGAGCCACTGGTTTTGTAGCTCAACCGTATTTTACTCTTCACAGATATAGCAAAATGTTCTGCTACTGTAGTGTACGCATAGCTACTGTGCTTGTATGTTTGCAAAATGCCATGGCAGCCTTAAGCGATTTTTAATCAGAAATTTCCCTATGGTGAAATGATTGGTGTTTGAAAACGTTCTGAACGAAACCAGCAGATGGCGCAGGTCTGCACTTTTCCGCTCCATCAGACAGAGCACGGGTGTCGCAGACGAAGGGACGAGCCACGTGTGTGTGTTTGTGTTGTGTGGGAAGATGTACTGTCTGGAAGCTGCTGCTCTGCTGCTTGTGCTGTAAACGTAAAGAGAGAAGGATCACGTACTCCTCCTTTTCTCTCTTCTTATCTCCTGTGTTCCTTCGGTTCTGTTCTTTTGGTTGTGTTCTCTGGTGTGGAGGTTCCTTCACTTCCCCAGTCTCTGCTCGCAGACTGCATAGCACCGCAGGGCACTGAGTAAGTCTTCATACGAGATGTCTTTGTGGGAAGGCAAAGAGCTGCAGGAGACACACAATCAGACAATTTAACCTTAAGACACAAGCTGATGAATGGGTCGTGAAACTGTCGGAGGAAGCAGCAGTGAAAACTGGGACTCGACACGACTGAATGAATCATGAAAAGAGGGCATTTACCACCATCTAGTGGACAGCCAGGAAAAGACATACAACAATGCTCATTACCAGCCTGAGCAGTTTATTAGTCTGCACGTGTATGTAAGGAAACACCCCCCCCCTTCCCTTATATGCCAAATGTGGTCAGCCAAGATATGTTAGGTGACCGAAATTCGCTTCTTTGGTTTTGCTCTGGAGCGACAAGGATAGCGTAACGAACAGTAAAGGAAGCATATTACCATTCTGAAAATTGGATGCATAGACATTTACACATGTGCCTCACATATATATTGTTGCAGACACTGTATGGCATACTGTTATATATAAAAATGGACAATATTCAACACTGACAAAATTCAGACTTCATCATTTTTACCTATGAGAGGCACATTTGTTTTTTATAGCTAAAGTTATGTCATACAGTGTCAGAAACACATATCCAAGTCTATCTGAGATTACTCAACTGGGCATTAAGTAAGAGTATAATTTGGGTATGCAGTTTGTATGATGCTAATTGGTCGGCTATCGGCTTCCATTAATTGTTACATTAGCCTTGTAGCTCCACTGCAAAAGTAAAGAAGCAAACGTTCAAAAAACTTCAGATTTTTTGCTGAACTACTTTTTGTGGCTGGGGTGGGGCTTTTGAAACTCTGCAATAACCTCAAATGATACATCTTCAAAATGCAAAAGATAATGCAAGTTCTATATTATGGTCTACATAACAATTCTATGTGCTTTTCAAAGTGTTTGCATGATTAAATGGTTAAGATGTAGACAAAGTCATTCAGAGTGGTTTGATACTCTGTTCTACAGAAACTTGCCAACTCAGAATTGTTCACAGTGGTGGTGATGGGAATCAGTATTTAATGCCTCTGAAAGCTTGCCCACAAAAAGTTAATACATGTTTAAGAATTTGCAGCCTGAAACAATGATTTATAATAGTCTTGATAGAAGCATTTGACCTATCTTTGTTAAAAGATCCATTCATGGAGAAGCAAATGTAGGGTGTTGAGACAAAATAGTCCTTGGAAATAGTTTTTCAGATTCAGCACAATTTTAGCATCATCACCATTACATATAAAACATCAGGTGACAAGCATAGGCTCGCTAATGGTTTAGATAGTAAATAAAATGGCCATTTCTGTTGTAGCCATAACAATCTCTGCTTCCTATCACCACCACTGCAAAGAAATCTGAGTCAGCAAGTTGCTCTACAAAGCACCATTTCACACCAAACCACTCTGAATGACTGTTTACATTTCAACAATTTAATTATGCAAAAATTTAGCAAAATCTGTAGAACCTCTCTTTAAACTTCAAATACAGGAATAACATCAAATAATAAATAGAATTTAACAGGATTAAAAATTATTTCAGTAAACATCAATCACACCTCCAGGATGTACACCTGAGCATCACTGGCTTGTGCATAAATGTTCCTATTACCATGCCGACTCCTGCTGTTGTAGCTGTTATAGATAAGTTACCAAGGCTAAGATGCTGGTGTGATAAAAGTTTATCCTGACAATCGCAGAGAGAGGAAGTCAGTGTCTGTTCCTCTGAGCTGATCTCAGCCAGACGCTGCCATTTTAAACAGTCGGTCTCTTCTGAGTCCTGAAATGCGTGAGGCAGCACTCACTGGTTTAGCAGGTTTAATCTCCACAGATAATCACAATACAAGACCCTACTCCACACAGGAGGAGCAAGCCATTAGACTTGTAAATCCTTATTTAATACAGTACTGTACAAAGGTCTTAGACAAGCCAAGAAAATATGTTTAGAATGATTTATCTAAGGGTGTTAGCATGTTCTTGCTGATTTTAACACTGTATAACATCAGAACATACAATTACAAATAAACACTCTTCAAACTAGCTGTGGAAAACAGTACTGAGAATTATAAAACTTATTCTTGAATGGGAACTGCAACAATTTAAAATGTTCTGCTTAGCTCAATTGTTTAACTGTAAGTCATTCACAGTGGTTTGATGTGAAATGGATCACAGAGAAACTTGCTCAATTTTTCTTGACAGTGATGCTAGAACCAGACGTCACATCTACAATGCAAATATATTCACTTTATTTACTATCCAAAACATCCACTGAACCTACACACGTCTACAGAAATTTTATTTATAAATGTTAATAATAATAGTGGTAAGCCCACAAACAAAAGTTTTCTTTAAGCGCTATTGTTCTTAACACCCTGCACATACCACTTTGCCAATATTTTTTATACATTTTAATACAAACCATTCTCAAAAATATTGTAGAACAATGTCTCAGATATCAAGCAGTGTATTTGTACCTTTCTGTGAGGGCGCTTTTAGAGTCATTAAACTCTTCAGACATCTGGCTCCTATCATCACCACTGAACAATTCTGACTCAATAAGTTTCTATAGAATGGAGTGTTTAACATCAAACCACTCTGAAGGATTTTTTAAAATAGCTTAGAGATCTAATTACGCTGAAACAGTGGAATTACCCTTTATGCTATGAGTGAGGAATGGAGGCCTGGACCTGTTAGCCGCTCCTGGCCATGTATGGGGTTAACATACCAAAAAGTAACATGAACTTCCTGTTTTTCTTGATATTTTAGGATATTTTCTACAGGTGTTTTTTCCTCTTTAGTGGACGGTGTGCCAACATGTTAGTTTGTCAGAGAAATATATTCCGACTGTTTCTGGACCCAACATCAGTGATTCTAACGTTCAAATACGGACACCTTGAACAGTTAACCAAGTACTTGAGCACCTGTGCACATTTTACTGAATATCTAAACCTCTGCCATTTTATTTACCATCCAAAGTCATGCAATAACCCTGCATGTGTCTTCTTAGTTTTTTTATGGGTAATGCTGGTGCTGGTAAAAATGGTAAATCTGAAGAAGAGTTCTCTTTGGTGTCATTTTGCCTTAGAGCACCCTTCATGTATCCCTCCAACATGGAAAACAATGTATTAAAATACATTTTAGAGCAAAACTATCACTAAACTACTGTAAAACAATGTCTCAGACATCAGGCAGTGTATTCATAACCATGTCATTTAGTAACTTTCTGTGAGGGAGCATTTAGAGGTGGACATCTGGTTCCCATCACCACCACTGTGAACAATTCAGACTCAACAAGTTTCTCTAGAAAAAGCATTTCACACCAAACCACTCTAAATGACTGTTAACATCCTAACCATTTAATTATGCAGATATTTTGGAAAAAATGTTCCCGTTTAAGGAAGGACTGATGAACTCAACCATGTATTGGATGGTAACTGTAAATATGGGCCTACCTCAGTATTTCTAACACAAGGACAAACACAAAATCTGTTTTATTAATGGTTATTTGTATTTAAGTTAATGTTAGTGATTACTACAATAACATAAAGGCTTATTGACCAGACAAACAGCTTTATACTAGTGCACAGTATTACACTATTGTATGTTCAAACACCCACTGTTGATACTCACATGAACTCTGTTAGTCTGATGTGCCAAGGCAAAAAACCCAGTGTACTATCAACTGGACCAAACTTCAGCACCAGGTCTGGGTCTGGGATGTTCTTCGACTCTAAAGTGAGAAATAAAAAACAAGTGTTTTGTGTGAGCGGAAGGCTAAGGGGCTTAACTGTCTGCTTCATAAGCTCTGTGGTCTCTAAGATGATTACAGAGTGTCTTTCGACATGGCCACTGGACAGCTGCATGGCCAGAGAGGAGCGAGCAAAGAACAGCTGCAAAGAGATAGAATACAGAGACTGACAAAACTACAGCCACAGTCCTGTTTAGGAAGATGAAGAGAAATCCTGTTAAGAAAGCCCACGTGCTCATTAACTAACTAACTTCAGTTTCAAATTGTAAGAAGATTCAGAGCAATAAAAAAAAGCTTTTTGTACAGCTCTACTCTCACTGACAGTCTATAGGCCAAGTTATCACAGTTTTAAAAGTTTCAGTAGCTTTTATTAGTTTATTTGATTTTTCTATTTCAGGAAAGTTTCAGTTAGTTTTCAGACTTTTGTTTTCCAAAAAAAATTCAGTTTAGTCTCAAATATATTGTAATTGCCTGGGTATTTAAAGGCCACATATTCTACATTTTTCAAACATCAGCCCCCACCCCAATTATAATGGTTGTGTAGGTTTTTGACCCTTAGAAGTAAACAGGCTGTTCTTGTTACTGTACCTTTAAGACTAACCTGTACAAAAAAAACTGCTCTGATTGAGAGATAAATATTTAGTAAGATTGATTTTCACAGTGATCCCTTTTAAAACATAAAGGAGAGCAGTGTTGGTTAGCAAATTAGTGGTCACTCACCTCGCAGTAAAGAGTCCAGCACAGTGACGTTGATGTCTTTGGACGTCCTCTCTTTCTGCTCCACAGCTTTACACAGCTGCTGCGCTGCCCTGAACAATACTGAGCTTTCCATCATCTGGAGACAACACCTTCACCACTGTTGGACACGTCAGCGCTACACACAAGGACACAACCAGTGAGTACAGCTCCCCTCAGGGCAGGATATTTCGATCAATGCATCAATATCAATAACTTCATTTCGATACCGGTGCCTGACTTTTTCTGATACCTTCTTTTAAATAACAACCTGGAAGTGGGTGTGGCTTAAACCAGGAATAAGTGTAAGGTGCTAGTCTAATGGACTGATGACTAATCAAGACGCTGAGGCTGACTACTTAGGCGCTGAAAATTGGTACTGTATGACAATTTTTCAACACTTATTATAATTCAGGTAACTTGTAATTTCAATACCTGGCCCTAGTCCCCACGACTCAGGGCTTTTCACATTTACAATTCAGTCAAACTGTTCTTAAATAAAACATAAAAAAAACCATTTGGACCTATACCAAAGATAAATCTACACATAGCAAGTTAAGACTCTTACATATGATGCTGAATCTGCACTCTGGTATTTCCTACAAACTAGCATTAATTACAGGCAGCTTGCTGAGAGAGAAAAAAAAACCTTTACAGGTGAAGGAAACGTTGCATTAACATGCATTGAAAGTTAAAGACAAGTCTTTTTGGACTTCTATTGGTTTCTATTGGTTCATTCTTCCTGCAATTTTGACACTGAAAATGGCAGCTGACATTTTCAAATAAAAAAGCAGACACAAGGTTTTGTTCAAACAGCCATGACATACAAATGAACAACAAAACAAGGCTATTAAGACTGGACAACTATCTGTAGTTCTCCTTTTATGGAAATGCTGAATGATATTTCTGTATCTGTGAATCTGGCAACATGTGCAGACATCCTGCACAGATGTTCATATAAGTGACTGCCAACATACTTGCATGCAACATGTGCACTAGGGGGAGCGTCCAAATCTAAAGGTACAGAAAAAGAGGAAAGTGTTCTTTTTTCTTTCTTTCTCTCTCCCTCTCTATCCCAGCATTAATACTCGCTTCACTGTTTTTGTAATAAGACGAGTTGCATAAATTGCAATGTCACATACTTTCCACCAGCCAGTCCTCAAAGTGCTCCACTATATTTATGTAGTTTTACATTTTGGAGTTGTGCACCTTGGGGCCTCCGCAGGCCTCTGTGAGAAAACCTTACCCATGAACCTCTTCTCGCTCTAGATAAAGCTACATTTATGTACAACTTGACAAAAGTGTAAATCAGCCTGAACACTGAACCATTTAGTAATCAATCACAAAAAGCCTAGCCTGGCACATAGCCTCTGCATGAACATTAACTCTTTGTAACTCTTTTATTGCTAATAGTAATGCACAAAATGATCATTTCTGGGCAAAACTGAAACTGAAAATCAGGACACACTGGGCCGAAAACCAAAACTGAAAAAAGCTGACAAACTAGAACAGCTTACTGAAAGTTTACTACCTAAACTATTATAGTATGTAGGCTGTAGTGTGCCACAAACTCCAAAGTCCTCGACAACAGAGAACAGCTGGTCATCCAGAATCATATGAATTCCAATACTTTTTTGATTATATTTTGCATTTTGGCTGTCGTTTGTGATCTTTACCATCATTTCAAAAACTAGGCAACACATGGTGTTGTTTTGTTGTATTCTGCGTTTTCAAATGGTATCAAACCTGTAGCGTAGAAGTTGAGTGTATCTCCTCTTGATTCTCAACTTGAACAATGATTACAAATTGCTTGTCTAATGTCCCTCATAGATACTGTAAAACAGTTTGACACAACTATTTTCAGTGTTGCTCTGCTGCCGCTCAAATTGTTGGAAGGCATCTGTAAAGACCGGCGCAGGAAAATGGCTGAAACTAGGCTGAAGTTGGCTCTGTTCACCCTTTCCACTTTAAACAGTGAGGCAGTCACGTTACAGCGCCTGAGAGCACCAGAATGTAAAAGCTGCTCTATTTAAGGTGGAATGGAAAATTAGAATAAGAAATTGCCAGGGAAAGAAGCTATCAGCTTTGTGGAATATAAAGGGAACAAACAGCACTTTTTCCCCCTTTTTTTAATTATCATCAAAATGATAGTAAAGTGCCGTTTTTGACATTTTGACACAAAATTTGGGGTGAACGAAAATAATGGTGTTGTATGTTGAGTTGAATGTAAAAGCTCTGTGAAAGTGCAAATGGACTTCAATTTGTATTGCTTTTGTATTTACTTATTGTAAGTTATATCGCAATAAACAATTTCATATAGGCTTAAAACTAAGTATTACAAAATGCAGATAGACATTATCAATAATTACTGATATTGAAGGATATGGGAAATTACATTTGGATGTAATCTTATCATCCAACCCCACCAATTTCCTACACATTTTGGTGTTTTCCTGCTCTAACACACCCAGTTCAAATCAGGAAGGACTTGTTAATGAGCTGATTGGTCAGGTCAGGCAAGTTATAACAGGAAAACCCCCAAAACCAGCAGTGCAGTGGCACTTCAGGACCAGAACTGGGGAACACTGATGTAGCGCAAGAATTTATAAAGGTAAAAAGTATCATAACAGGTCATTCAAGTCAGCATTTTCTGGCATAACCTGTTTTTACACACCCTTTATTGTAGTGATGGGAGTTGACTCTTACCATGCTGATCTGTGCCATTATTTAGGAACTCCAGTGAGTACTTGCAGCTCTCAGAGCCCAAGAGCTCCTGTTGCTGCTTTAAAATCTCTTCCATCAATCTGGAGTTATTCCTCCTGAAGACACCTGCAAAACAAACAGTGGAGATCAGCGCTGCAGAGCTTCTAAACAGCACTTTACTTTCAATTGATTTGCATAAAAAAACCAAAAGACTGGTGATGACTGCTTGTGTAGAATGAAGCACAAGCAGTCATCACCTTTCACTTAACAGAAAAAAAAAGAATAAAAAAAAATTCAGCTACTTTAAAGGGCCTTACTGACACAGGGGTTTAACTGTGCACACACAGCTTGTAAAATCTCTAAGGATTACAGGTTGGTATTTCTGTACGGTCATGGTTTTAATTTGTTTTAGTTTGCCATTTTATTTATTTTAATGAGTTATTTTATTTGGCTAAACTATTATTTGAACTAAATCAACTATAATTTACTTAGGTTAAACATTTTCCATATGTTAGCATTCACTGTTCTACTTAAATGCATTTGCTGATCATTTATTGTAGAGAAGCTTCCAAATGCCAGAAAATTGGACTGTGGAGCTCTGGACTGCTCTCTGGAGTGATGGAGCTCCATCCAATATCTTTGGGAGGAGCTGGAGTGGAGTTTGCAATCCAGAAGTAATCATCCAACCTCAGTACCCCACGTCACTAATGTTCTTGTGGCTGAATGCAATCAAGACCTTATAGCAATGTTCCAACATCTAGTGTAAAGTCTTCCCAGAAGAGCAAAGGCTGTTACTGCAGCAAAGTGGGCAAAAACTCCTAAATCTGGAAAATTATTGCGTACAGTCTTTTGGGTGTACAGTGTAGCTTGGTTAGGAGGCTATCAGTTTTACCATCTGTGACGTAACTGAGAACCAAGACGCCGCCAACATCTGCAGGATCTCACACTTAGAACAAATTTAGACATTGTGATGGCTTTCATCCAGTGAGGAAGCTGCAACACCTAAAATTAACCTCTTATGAGTCACACATGAACAATTCCAAATGAGTCCTGCTCATCAGGATAACACCTCCCTCAGACTGATACATCACACTTCTGTATGCTAGACGACACGTTGCTGACTATGGCATCAGTGCTGAGCTTTGAGAGTTGCTTAATCAGGGCTAAAGGTAAACCAGCCCGCAATTCAGCCCATACATTCCCTCCTACTGTTCATTGCAAAAGTGGAGTTGGGAAGGATTTATATAGGCCATGGTGCCAAGCTGGAGTAACTGAAGAAGACAGAAAATTAGAGGAGAAGTAGAGAGTAGATAGCCTTCTACAACTATGGTCATTCATATGCAAAGTCCAGAAAAAATAAACGTATTTTTCAGTATTAAATGGCCCATATCATGGAAAACCGTAATTGTCTTAACTTTGTGATAAAAGCTACTGTTAAAAGTTTTAAAACATACAGTTGACTTCAGTCCATACAGTCCAAATAAAAAACTAAGCTGCAAAAACAGCCCGTTTTGAATTTGTTGTTTTTGTGATGTCACAGAAATCACCACATTTACATACACTGACCAGCCACTTAATAAAAAACACCTGGTTGTTTCTACAATCACTGCTTCTACAATCATTGTCAAGTGCTGCTGGAGTGTTTAATAGAGATGGACCGATCAAAGTTTTTGGGGCCAATACTGATTGCCGAACGACTTTCAGTACAATCGCCTGATATCAAATACCGATCAAAGCCAAGGCTGGATGCCACATTTAAAGGCGTAGTAGTGATTCTCAACAGCAAAACAAAAACACCCCTCCCTTCAACAGCTCTGCTCCCAATTTCATGAACGTGCACTGCCAAGGAAAACAACACTTTAAGATGTTCATGGCCATATAACCCTTCGCAAACCTTGTACGGGCAAATACCATGATATTACATTATCACAAACAACAAAGCAAGCAATGTAACTAACCAACATTAGCTAGCTTGTGGGTTAGCAAACTCACTACAGTTGCTACTGCGAAGCTAATCACAAACATTAGCAAACAGGACAAAATAAAACTGACCAAAAATAACTCATGTTGAAGCTGAAGTTGGCTTCGTTTTCTAATTTCCCTGTTCCACTTTAAATGGGGCAGCAGTTACATTCTGGCGCCTCAGGCCAGCATAGCCTTTGAAATAAACAAAGTCCACACAACCGGCACAGGTAACTGGACAAAACAGCCCTCCTGCTTAATGGATGTTTTTTTTCAAATGTACTGAAAAGGCTAAACAGGTTCACAGTGAAACAGGAGCCAAATATGTAATATACTTCAGGAAAAACTGTTTTTCATTAATGAAATAGATATGACGAGACTGAAGTCTGCTTCCTATTTGCCAGCTTATTGTTTAAAATTTCCCGTTCCACCTTAAAAGGAGCAGCAGTTACATTCTGGTGCCTGAGGAGAAATATGGCTCATACATTTTCATGTCACTGATCAGCTTTCAGGATCGGCTAAGTTAGAGAAGTATCGGCTGATCGCATACTTGGAACGAAAATCCTTTCAGTTTGAGTTTTTAAACACCTCAGTGTCACTGCTGGACAGAGAACAGTCCACTAACTCCAAACTCCAGCAGCACTGCTGGGTCTGATTCACTCGTACCAGCACACTAACATGGCACCACCACGTCAGTGTCGCTGCAGTGCTGACAACGATTCACCACCCAAATAATACTTGCTCTGTGGTGGTCCTGTGGGGATCCGGACCACTGAAGAACAGGGTAACAAAGTATGCAGAGAAACGGTTGAACGTCAGTCTGTAACTGTAGAACTACAAAGTGCTCCTATATGATCAGTGAAGTTCATAAATTGGACAATGAGTGTAGAAACAAGGAGGTGATTTCAAAGAAGTGGCTGGTCAGTGTAAATCCTCCTATTCAGCCTACAGCAGTTTAGCACCACCCATTCACACTGAAGTCATAAGGAGTGTTTCAGCCAGGACGGCAAAATACAGGACAGCCAATCACAACAGAGCTCATTTACATATCATTTTCAAAGGCACATAGACAAAGCCTGTTTAAAGAGTGGTTTGAAAATGTCAAAATGAATTGGCTCATAAAAATCACACAAGTGTCATAAATGGACCTGGGAAAATAAAAAATACAAGATAAATGTAGGATATTGGTGTCTTAATATGCAGTTTAAAAGTGCTGCCCACAAGGCCAACTCTGAGGCAAACAGAGACATTCTTTAACATCTAAAATCATTTGCATCCTTTCAAGAGAGATAAATATTTCATGGTCTTCATGTCCACATCAATCATGTCCATAGCATGTTTAATCATTCCAAACTAAAACTAATTCAGTCATTTCTGGAAGTGTCAGGACGCATTTATAAAACATTTAAGAATTTAATTCTTAATTTGCGTACGATACATTTAAAAAAAGAAAATGTTTACCAGTCGAGTGCTGTAAAGCCTGAAGCTCACTGGCACTGCTGTCTGCACATCAGTCTGGACATTTGGGTTCATCTCAAATTATCAAAAGAAAATTCACACTTTTGCCAACTGCTACTTACACACGAACATACAGTTTCCACATTTTAAGATCAGATCTGTGTGTATGAATGTTATATAGACGAGGCTCTTGGGCTGCCCAAAGTGGCCCTTGTGGAAAGTTACCCTAACTCCACCTCCTCACTAAAAGACAGAATACTTTTATACAACACAAACCTTATTAGATTATTATTTTACTTTGAAACTGTATTTTTATAATATTTTTAAAAATATAATGTAAGCTTGTAAAATACTTGTTTTAAATTAATTTTAAACCTTCTTTATTAGCATGCTGTCATGTCTTTCTGGTCCTCAGCCCACCACAAACACTGCAACTTGGACCCCTAAGACAAAAAAAAAATGGTCCTCCATGTCTAAATTATAGTTTAACTGGCAAATAAAGCAGTTTTACCAAACGGTTTTAAAGTAAAGCCTTATTCTGACATTTCCTTGTGTGCAAAGTTTGTTCCTCAGCTAAGTTTAGCAATTTCTAACCGAAGTACACATTCAAAGATCTCCAAGCGTTTTTTTATTTAATGACGCAAAAAACCTTTTACTCATGCAAAGGGTTATTTGAGTGTTCATGGTTCTATACAGAACCATTTTCTTTACTAAGAACCATGATTTTTAAGAGTGTAGTTCAACATCTATACAGAAATCAGACACATGGCAATATAATGGTTTCAACTATATATGTATAAACTTCTCTTGTATCAAACTTAGATTTTGTCATATATGGACATCTATGTGAAATATATGCCAACTTACGCCATTTTCAAATTATGGAACATATATTTCAGCCATATATCAGCCTATACAAACACGTGTAACACGTTTTTAAAAAGATATACTAGAAAACATTATTTATGTATTAACGGGAATATATTATATATACACTCACATATGCTGGCTTCGCATTATGTTTTTTGTATTTCATTTTGATTTTGTTTGTACGAGACGTATATTAGATATACAGTATAATCACCAATGTCGAAACAAAACCTCGAATCTCCAAAAAGGTAACTTTACAGGAGAAGGAAAAAACATACCTCACTTTCAATGTAAGTCAATGGAACCAGACTTTTTTCCAAGTACTTTTGGGCCATTTTGTCATGAAATTGAGAAACAATGTAAAGGGCAACAGGTATTTTTTTTTAATTATACCAAAAACTGAAAAACAACAACAATGGAGATGCAAGGTTTTGTTACAACAGCAGTGATATGTATGATCCATATTTTATACAGGTATGTATTCATCCACCTATCAGACATATATGAATATGTACTGTCCATATATTATGTATACATGTCCAATATGTGATACTTACTACCACATATTTTAGAATATATGCCTTATCCTTTATGATATATGGGCATATATGGCCATAGACCTATATCAGATTTCACAAGCATAGACACAGCTGAAGAAGAATGAGTCCAAAAAGGACATGTATGAAGAGCAGCTGCTCTGAATTCTACCCTAAAACTTTACAGGTCACAAATCTACTGACATTAGAATGAAAGGTGATTTAAGAGGGAAGAAAAAAAGCCACAAACTCAACAAGTCTGGTGACTCTAGTGCATGTGATTTCCTGAGCGTAAGACTTCCCTTTGGCCTCGTTCATTCGTTTTCTACACGTTTATCCAGCTGAACTCCAGCCTTACCTTCATGATCATAAACACTGACATATGAAATCCCCACTGCCATGCACCACACCACCAGGTTGGCTATATCCGTGTACTGCTGCTCCTCCTCGACCACCAGCAAACCCACATGAAGGGGCAATTTTTCCAAAGCCTTGTCGTCCGCTACCCAGCGATACCGGCGGGGTTTTGCCGTCTTCTTCTGGCTGCTGAAGCCCATAGCTTCAGGAAGCAGCAGCGCGGCTCCGGCTGTCCTCCACAGCCGCCCGCCTCGCCTCCACACGCGGCCTCGAAACCAAGCGGCGGCCGCTCGCTGGAGCTGGAGAAGGCAGTGCAGGAGCCGCCACACCAACTCATACAACAACGCCATGATAAAAGCCTCTTTAAAAAGCGCGTCTGTCAGGAGTTCAGACGACACCGCATGCTCAGGTTTTTAGGAGCCAACTCAGTCATTAAACCCGCCTATTGCCACTCCGCTCAGCGCCAACGCCGCAGGCTGCCGGCTGCCATTCCTCAGCCTTTCCACTTTGAACCCGCTGTGTTACATGGAGCTCTCTGATTGGACGCAGCGGACAAAGATGCTGAAGTAAGGCAAGAGGGTTCACTGAGAGCGCTTCCTGTTCGAGCTAAGAACAGAGAATTTGTAGAGAGGAGAGTTGTCACTCTGTAATGTCTTCCGGATTTGTCAAGCACTAGAGGGCGCTCCTGAGCGAGTCCAAAATGAATAGGCTCCCTTACAAAAATTAACCATGTTTTTTTGGCAGAAAGAAAACTATGACATGGTTACTATGGTTTCTCTATCATTGCTTTACTATAGCATGGTATCATTATTTTTTGGCAAAAATTAAAATATGGTAAGATAGTATCTCTTCCATGATTTTTCCATAGTATGGTATCCATGTTTTTAGTCAGAAAGAAAACTTTGGTGTAATTACTATGGCATCTCTACCATGTTTTTCCTCTAGTATGGTATCATGTTTTTGGCTAAAAGAAAACTATTACTTACAAAAATTAACCACAGTTTTGCTAAATTCAACCATAGCAAAACCTTAGTAGAGTCATGTTATAAGTATATAATTAATACTAAGGGAAAGCACCCTACACCAAGACACCTAACACTACCTTCTCCTACCTGTGTAAAATGATCAAATCGTAAGTCGCTCTGGATAAGAGTGTCTGCCAAATGCCATAAATGTAAGTGTAAATAAAAGTATTGATTAACTATAGTTACTATGGACCACTATCGTAAAACCATGGCAGAATCATAGTATAAACATAGTTACAATAAGGCATCATAGTAGTTCATGGTAGGATCATGGTTAACTGCTCTAACCTTAGAGACTATGAACCGCCATAGCAAAACCATGAATAATTTATATAAGAGTCAATATGGAGCACTTGAACACCATTGTTATGTTTTTGAGTGCTTTTAAGCTCCAGTCATAGAAGTTTATAATGACGCCAGCCAATCAGCACTCAGTATCAGTAAAGCTAACCAATCAGCACTCAGTAACTGTAATGCCAACCAATCAGCACTCAGTAACAGAAAAGCTAACCAATCAGCACTCAGAAGAAGTAATGCCAACTAGTCAGCACTCAGTAACAGAAACAGCTACCGATCCAGCCTCAGAAGAAGTAATGCCAACTAGTCAGCACTCAGTAACAGAAAAGCTAACCGATCAGCACTCAGCAGCAGTAAAGCTAACCAATCAACATTCAGTAGCAGTAAAGCTAACCCATCAGCACTCAGTAGCTATAATGCCAACCAATCAGCAGTCAGTAGCAGTAAAGTTAACCAGTCAGCACTGAGTGGCAGTAATGCCAACCAATCAGCACTCAGTAGCAGTAAAGCTAACCAATCAGCACCGAGTAGCAGTAATGCCAACCAATGAGCACTCAGTAGCAGTAAAGCTAACCAATCAGCACTTAATAACTGCAATGTCAACCAATCAGCAGTCAGTAGCAGTTAAGCTAACCAACCAGCACTCAGTAGCTGTAATGCCAACCAATCAGCACTCATTAACAGTAAAGCTAACCAATCAGCACTCATTAGCAGTAAAGCTAACCAATCAGCACTCAGTAGCAGTAAAGCTAACCAATCGGTACACAGTATCAGTAATGCTAGCATCCTGCTGCCAAAAACTTGTTTGGAGAAAAGCAAATATACAGGTAAGTTTTCTTTTAGTGAAATACGTCTTCTACTTTCTAAAATTAACGGAAGATCCTGAACGATTTTTACCTGTTTAACTCCATTAATTTAGGACTCGCTCGCCGGCGCCCTCTGGCGTTTCGCAGTCATGTTTTTTGATATTACGAGAGAAACAGAGAGTGGACAGACTCCTCCTAAACTGGCTTCAGAAGAGATTCAATTTATTCACATATGTGGCATATGAATAGGGAATAAATAGTAATATTGATTCTGATCACATTTCCAATAGCATGGTAAATATTACAATATTTTTATATTGATATTCATATGTATATAAACATTTCTAAATTAATGATGAAGTTCGTTTTTATGTTCCCTCTTTTTTTAAAGCAAATGCACCCTTTTCTTTCTTTATTGATATCTAGAGTGATAAAATATGATCATTTAGGTTGCATTAAAATTTTGAATTTCGTACGAGACGTTTTCTAATTTCATTTTTATTTTAAGACTTTTATGCAAATCAAGTGCCACTAAATGTCTGTGAATGCTCTACATAATTTCTTTTAATAATACATATGAGATGTAAATCGCGCCCATTAAAATAGTAGATATTAAATTGATTGTGCTTTTATATTACAAAGCATGCAAAATGTAATGTACTTACAGGTGTAGCATAAGAGCAGAAAATAGTTTATGTAGAGTTAAAAGAAATTAACTGATGTAAGCTCTGTGGCGAAATGGCGCCCTCTGCAGTTGCAATTTGGTCTCGCAGATGAGATACAAAACATGGTCCATACTGTGTGTCATAACTCTGAAGATTAAAATACAGCAATATAACCTCCCCAAGTTTTAATTACATACCTTTGATACATAATTACATATTGCTGATAAATCTACAAATAAATCTACAAAAGGCAGTTACAGTCCGAAATGAAAACAAAACACTGTGGTAGTTGTGAATACTGTCCACACTGAAAAAAGTGATGTGTCGGATTTACTTGGTTCAAATGTGTTCATCATTTCTACATGAAGAAAATATATTAAATCAGCACAATTCTTTCTTTTAGTTTACTGTTTGCAATAACTGTGCAGATGTAATATTTTTACTTACATTTGAAAATGATTTACACATGTTGATCAAGTAATTTCAATGCATCACTTTTTCAGTGAATCAACAGTAGATGTACAACAGTGAAGTGGAAGTTGCAGGTGAATTATACATTATTATGATTTTCTATGTATATTAAAGATCATAATCGTAGTAGTCCTCATTGTCTGTGTGCTCAGGTTGTTTCTCAGGTATTGACTCTTCAGTCTCCTCACACTTGTCCTGCGTCATTACGTACGCTTGCCAAATGTCCACTGATGTATGGACAGTCTCACTGCAGAAGTCTGAGCTGATATCTACATCCCTGGCTAGCAGTGACCTCTTGACCTTGAGCAGCTCACAGCTGCAGTTCCAGGGGTTTCCGTCCACGTACAGCGTCTGTAGTTTGGGAAGCAGGCTCATGGCAGGCAGTGAGGAGAGCCTGTTGTTGCGCAGATTCAGCACCTGGAGCCGCTTCAGAGACTTCAGTTCATGCTCCTCAATCGTGATGATGCGGTTCCCCTTCAAGTCCAAACGGACCAGGGTTTCAGGAAGCCTGGAGTGATACAAATATTCAGTCAGTATTTGTACACCTATACAGTGGACCTATAAGGTAGATGGAGCTCATAAAGTGGCCAGTGAGTGGAAGTACAAGGTAGGTGTTTCTAATAAAGTGGCCAGTGAATAGAAGTGCAAGGAAGTCTTTCTAATAAAGTGGCCAGGCTGAGAAAGTACAAGGGAGGTGTTTCTAATAAAGTGGGAAATGAGACAACATAGAAAGTGGGGATTTCTAACAAAGTGGCCAGTCTGAGGAATTATAAGTTAGGCGTTTCTAATAAAGTGTCCAGTGACTGAACAAACAAGATAAGTGTTTCTGATAAAGTGGCCAGTGAGTGGAAGTACAATGTAGTGTTTCTAATAAAGTTTAAATTCTCTTTATCATTTGCTTTACTATGGGTTGTCTTCCCAAACAGAGATTAAGCCTATTCCTGGACCTCACTGCATTCTGCATAGAGATTCTCCACGGAAAAGGAAAAGGTAGTTAAGGTGATTGTCACCATTAATAAGAATAAAAAAATAGTTGAATAATCAATCATACAATACAACATTCAGAACAGTAAAGCATTAGTGAATATGCATGCATAAACTGTACTCGTTTGGAAAGGTGGAGAGAAGGTTCTGCTCTAAAGCCAGGTTGGTTAGGTGAAGACAGTTTCTCAGAGCATTGCTCTCAAAATGCCGAATGGTGTTGTTCTCCAAAAAAAGATGTCGCAGTTGCTTCATTCCAGAAAGCTGCTGATGGGTCACTTCCTGGATGTGATTCTGTCCACAGTCCAGCTTCTCCAGTCTGGCTGAAAGCCGACCAGGCAGCACCCGCAGATGGTTGCCTGCCAGCTCCAGCACGGTCAGATTGGGCAGGCGAAGGCCTCCGTCCACTGACACCAGTCTGTTGTGGCAGACAGTAAGCGTAGCCAGGTTGTGCAGCTGCGCCATATCACGACTTTTTAGTGTTCTTATGTGGTTCCTATCCAGGCTGAGGTGGAGCAGAGCTTGTGGGAGGTCATGGGGCACCTTGTTCAGGAGGTTGGAGGACAAATCCAAAGTTTTAAGAAGCTGTAATGACGAGAAGAAAGCTGAGGGCAGTGACGAGATCTTGTTATTTGCTAAGCTAAACTGATTTAGATTTGGCAACCTGAGGGCACCTTGCACTGTCTCGATTTTATTACCCTCCAGATAGAGACCCTCCAGCATTGTGAGCGTTGAGAAGGTGCTGGAGCGTAATGTGGCGATGAGGTTATTCTGGAGGTTCAGCAGGCGGAGCTTCTTCAGGCCCTGCAGGGTGGACTCTTGCAGTGTGTGGATCCTGTTGTGGCCCAGGTGGAGGCTCTCCAGGCTGGATGGCAGGCCACGAGGGATGTTCCTCAGTTTATTCTTCTGGAGGTCCAGAGTCTTTAAAACTCTCTGGGCCCTGAAAGTGTTACCCTCCAGCTGCTCCACTCCACAGGAGGACAGGATGATCTCCTCAAGGCCTGGCAAACTGGACAAATCTCTATTCTAGAACCAAACAGAACAATATTTAATCCTTTAAACCATTGAACTATAGGATTATTATTCAGTTATCAATCTTGGGACTTATTTATTCAGTAATTGCAATAAATTATTTAGCTGCTACTTTGATACAATCCATTCAACTTATGTAGTTAGGAGTGTGTAAAATTGGGCTGATTTCCTAAATCCTGAAGGGGAATTCCACCAATTTTTCAAAATTTCTGGTCAAGACAAAATCATTCAGAGTAGTTTGATGTGAAATGCTCTGTTATAGAGAAACTTACCAAGTCAGAATTGGTCACAGTGGTGGTGATAGGAACCACACATCTGAAGAGTTTAATGCCACTAAAAGATCCCTCACAGAAAGCTGTTAAATGATTATGATGTCTGGTGTCTGAAATATTGTTGTATGATAGTTTTGATAAGGTTTTGGCCTAAAATGTACTTCTTAAAATCAGTTCATGGTGGAGAGGTACATGCAGGACATTGTGAGGCAAAAAAGTCCCCAAAGAAAGCTTATTACTCCAGTTTTACCTTTATTTCACCATCTTTAGCATTACACTTAAACTCAGTGAAGAGTTCACTGTAGGTTCACTGGTGGTTTTGGATTCTAAATTAAATTCTTATATTTGTGTTGTAGACATTGCAACCCCTGGTTCCCATCACCACCACTGTAAAGAAATCTGAGTTCTTTCTAAATTTCAATATCAATTTCAATGAACCATTTCACATCAAACCACTCTGAATGACTTTGGGTCTCAAACATTGAGTGATGATTTAGGCTTAAATGGACTGAACTAAAAATAGACTAAAATATTTTCAATTGTTAACCAGTATAAGCACTGAATTTAGTCCAAAACTAGAGTTAATTCATGCTCACCAAACCATGCAGTCAGTTTCCCACACTGTAAAAAAAATAATAAGACAACGTTCTGCATAGCTTTCATTTTTAAATGTCTTAGTTAAGTTAAAGATCTCCTCTGAAAAAACTCACCTTTTTAAGTAGTAAACAGTTTAGGTTGAGCGCACTCAAAAACAAAAAATGAATGTGGTTGGCTCCCTATATACTGAAAAAAACAGCTTGTTGTTTTGTTTGCAGGATCATTAGGAGACAAGAGATCATAAATTCAAATCCTGGTGATGCATCAGCCCCCAGGCTGGGGTCAAAAGTCTGGGGGGACATAGTCTGTGAGTGAGTGTGGCAATAACTAGAGGAGAAACTGAATAAAAATCCAACAAATCCAACAAATCCTGACAGCCACTATCACTGGTTTAATCTCAACTTAAACTGTAAGACCTAACTAAGATGTGGTACTGTACATGTAAGTTTTGATTAAAAAGCTATGCAGAAGGTTAATTTAAAATTTAAATTGACCTGACTTTTGTACATTACAGACCAAAAAATAAGCCTAACTTGAAAAATCACTTAGTTAGAGACCTGAAAGAAAAACACATCTGAATGTATTGTACAATCAGTTAAAATGATCAATATATTGAAATAAGATGAAATAAGACGAGCAGATGAAATGAATGCAAAAGCAATGTTTTTGAAGGAGATGAATACAGCTGTATGCAAAAGTTTGAGCAGCCTGGTGAAATTCCTTGTTTTGTTGATAACACAGCACCTCTACATCATTGCTGTTTATTTGCTGAGTTTAACATAATGGGGTAAATAATGGGGTAAATAAATAGAAATTGTGCACTATAATTTGCAGAAAAATTCGATGTTTAAGTTTGCTTCCTTTAGAAAAAACGTTAACTTATTTTCAGTTAGAAAATCAACAAAACATGTCATTTGCCTGCACAGGGTCACAAAAAAAGCACAGAAAAGTTGTTCAACACTTTGCCACAAACGTGCTTACTGCTTACTGAAAGTGAGAGAAAACTGTTACCTTTATCTCCTTAATGTGGTTGTGTCCTAAGTTGAGTTTCCTCACATCTCTCGGGATGCCTGAGGGTATGGCCTGCACCCTGAAGCACTGCACTGACGCTGTCTGTTCACAGATGCATTTCTCTGGACACGTTTGGCTGCAGAGAGAGTGCAGAGGGAAGAGTAGACTGTAAAGGAAAATGTGAAGTGTCCACATTGTGCAGACATTACTGAGGCTGCCTCAGTGCTGAAGGAGCATTCTGAAAGGCTTAAATAGCTCAGCGATTCAAGCGCTGGTGAGAGTAGACCTTCTCTGCTTTATTTGGAACAATGGCCCAGATCATTATCTCGGTTGGAAAACACTGACAAGGAACCGGCAGAGCAGTCATGGATTGTCCTGCCTGTCCACAGATGTGAGAAACTTGCTGATAACCTGTTTACAGCCCATTCTGTCTAACAAATGTGGTTTCCTCTGCTCAAATACCTTTACCAGAACCTTTATCTCTTCATTCCTCTCCTCAGATACCTCAGCTTTTTTTGGAGATGAATGTTTCTCTAGTGTCACAAAAAAGAGACTGTTTCTCAGGCCCAGCTTAAGTTCATGCTTAAATTAAAATGGAGATTTAATGGTGAAATACCAATGACATTGCAGTTTAGTCCAAGACTAGGCCTAATCCAGCTCCACAAAACTAAACTGGCCCAAAGTGTTGTTCTAAGCTGTGACAATCTGTATTTTTAAACAAAGACATTCCTAATAGTCACATAGGGTTTAAATGTGTCAAGTAAAACTATCTGGACAGATAGTGGACCAGAGCCTGGCATCTAAACCTAACAAACATTTGTCCCAACAATAAAGATTTTTATGCCAAACTCTCTTTGCAAGATTAAAATTGTAATTTTCACAGTAAATAAAAAGTGTCAGATTTTAAGAACAGATAGATAGTCTGATTTATTTTTTTTAAAACATCAACTTAATGATAATTCTCATGTGTTCTCTGATTTTCAATCAAAAGGGTTTTAAAGGGCTCATATAAAGGAAAAATGTTTTTTAAAAATTTGAGCTTGATGTAGCATGTAAACATATTTACAGTTTCAAAAATTATCATTCACTTCCCAGTCCATACAGTCCATAAATGGAAACTATGTCACAAAAACCTTGGTATTGACATATAATCCACCTCTTCATCCAATAGCGGTTTAGATCTGCCCATTCACAATAAAGGAGTGTTTCAGCCCTGACTGCTTTTTTGAATAAGGCACAATACAGGGCACTCAATCAGAACACAGCTTATTTAGATGCATGTCTTAAAGGTACAGTAACAAAAAACAGCCTGTTTAATTTTAAAGAGGGATAGAGAGAGGTTGTAAACGGTCATGTTTTGGTTCATAAAACCACACAAACAGTATAAGTAGAACTTATAAACAATTATAAATAACAATAAATTTGTAAGACATTGGCCCTTTAAAGGAAGACTGGGTAACATTTTGGTATAGGGGGACATTATAATGCCCTCATAAAGCTCTAATTATGCCTTATCAAGCTATTAACTGGTTATTTATTACTACTTTATTATCATTTATCCAACCAATGACTGCAAATGAAAGGGCTCAGTGCTCATTACTGTTTTATTAAGCCATAGCTGTGTGAATTATTTGTGTATTATAAATCATAATGTGGTGCACAACCTTTTCCTGAACTTTGTAATCATTTTCTTTTGATTCCATTCAATACAAAAATAATTTACGAATGAGGTCTGCGTTTATAGTCAATAACTAACATGTTAAATTCAGTCTCATACAATTGTCTGAGGAAAGCTCCAGCTGTCTTGTGATTACAATATATAACAGACAAAAATGCTCTGGAAAAACCCTAGTTACTGTTTAATAAATTAGTAATAATCAGCGAGTGAAGTGCTAGCTTGTGGTCTGTTATAGCCCAGTAAGAGCATTACAAGGACATTATAATGTCCCCTTACTCTGAAGTGTTTACTGAAGACTGCAGTGTCAGCATAAGTGACTCAGAGGGAAAGAGGGCCAGAGTGGTCTCTACACTCCACCCATCCTGTTGAGACAATGTGGTAATGAATACTCAACAAGGGGGACAGAAATAGGATGACAGGACTATTGCAGCTTTTTTGAGCAAATGACATTTCAAAGCACATCAGCTTTGTGGTTTCTTCTTTATGTTTTGACAAAGTGTAGAGTAGACATGCTGATTTTTAGGGACGTAACTTTGGGTTGAACATTAGAGGGGTTGGGAGTGGGGGCTGCAGGGGGACACAGCCACAGGAAAAAAAATCACAATAGCTATTAAATAGTTTTTGGAGATACACAAAAATAAAAATCACCACAAGAATTCTAACCAGAAAATGCAACAGTTTTATTGGTTACTACAATATGTTTAGAAAATAGTGGTCAATTGATCAGCAGCTATGGTCAATTGGTTTGATAGTCACAAACTGTAGATATTAAGGTATATAATTTTTATTGTAGCATTTTATAGAGATTTTAAGTACGCAGAGTAGCTCCAGTCTCCCTTTACCGTGATCTCACGTCTATTAGATGTTTGTTTGATGAGTTATTGGTCTGAAAACCTTCACAGCTCACAATAACAGTTGCAATTCCACCTATCCTTTCATTCTCATTGTGCCAACTCCACCAATTTCTCAACTGTCAGGCATAATTAAATCATTAAGGTGTAAACAAGGTCATTCAGAGTGGTTTGATGTGAAATGCTCTGTTTTAGAGAAATATGCATTGTTTTATGAATTTTTGTCATAAGTTTTAGGTCTAAAATGTATTTTTATGTACAACTCCATTTCCAGAAAACTTGTGCAAAATGTAAATAAAAACAAAATGCAATTATGTACATATGATTTAAACCCTAGATTTCATTGAAAATAGTACAAAGACAACATATCAAATGTTGAAACTGAGAAATTTTATTAAATGTATGCCCATTTTGAATTTGATCCCAACAACATGTTTAAAAAAAAGTTGGGACAGAGACAACAAAAGACTGGTAAAGTTTAATGTATGTAATGCAAAAAAAACACTGGTGGTTGATTGGCAACAGGTCCGTAACATGATTGGGTATAAAAAGAGCATCCCAGAGAGGCTGAGACGTAGAGATGGGGAGGAGTTCGTCACTCAGTGAAAGACTGTGTGGACAAATAGTGCAACAATTCAAAAATAGCATTTCTCAACATAAAATAGTAAAAAAAAATTGCTTTTCATCATCTACAGTACATAATATGCAAACAGTCCTTCGCTGCATCCACAAATGCAAGTTAAAACTTTAAAACGCAAAAAAAAACACATAGAAACAGGATCCAGAAATGCTGCCGCCTTCTCTGGGCCTGAGCTCATTTTAAATGGACTGAGGGGAAGTGGAAAAGTGTCCTGTGGTCGATAAATCAACATTTGAAATTCTTTTTGGAAATCATGGACACTGTGTTCTCTGGGCTAAAGACTACTCAGCTTGTTATCAGTGCACAGCTCAAAAGCCAGTATTCATATAAGGGTGCATTAGTGCCCATGGCATGGGTGATGTGCACATCTGTAAAGGCACCATTAATGCTGCATGATATAAACATGTTTTGGCAACATATGCTGCCATCCAGACAACATCTTTTTCAGGGAAGGCTTTGATTATTTCAGCAAGACAATTTCAAACCACATTCTACATGTATTACAACAACATTGCTCCATATTAAAAGAGTCCGGGTGCTAAACTGACCTGCCTGGAGTCAAGACCTGCCACCCACTGATAATCTTTGGCGTATTATGAAATGAAAGATACGACAAAGTAGACCCCAACTGTTGAAAAGCTGAAATCCTATATCAAACAAGAATGGGAAAACATTTCAAATTCAAAATGGGAATAAATAAACAATAAAATTTCTCAGTTTCAACATTTGATATGTTGTCTTTGTACTATTTTCAATCAAATATAGGGTTTAAGTGATTTGCACATCATTGCATTTTGTTTTTATTTACATTCTGCACAGTGTCCCAACTTTTTTGGAAATGGGGTTGTAAATTCTTAAGGGAGAGGTACATGTAAAGCAGGGCTTTGTAAGGCAAAAACGGTCTCCAAAGAAACTTAATTCTTTCAGATTTACCTTTATTTTACCACCATCAACACTACATATAAAAGCTCAGGAGACATCATGACTCTTGGTTCCTGTCACCACCACTGTAAAGAAATCAGTCTGTAAGTTTCACTACAATGCTCTATTGCATATAAAACCCGTTTGAATGATTTTGTTTACATCTCAACCATTTAATTATGAAGAAATTTTAAAAATCAGTGGACTTCTCCTTTAAGACTGTCAAAAAACAGGATTCAAGAAATGAATGAAGAATGCTGTGCCATTATACAAAGTTATTCAGACACAGAACTCCCCAAAATATATATCCACCAGCATTTTACTGTTAATAAATAATGACATTCAGAACACTACATCTGTACATGTAATATTTTACACATGCAGTGTTTTTTTCATTATACAATATTGTAAACCATGATGAAAGGTTATAATTATCATGATTAGTGTAGAATGGTGTATGAACCTCATATTTTGATTTTTAGTTAAGTGAAAGTTGCTTTAAACTCTTTGGTTACAAACCAGTGAGGAAAATTCAGTTTTACATAATATGCACATATTTATTCAGTATTGTCATTATATTCTGTTACCTGCACCTCCTTGTACAGTCATTATTGCACTGCCTTTTTCATCTCAGGTTATAGATCTTATTCCAGATTTTTGTATATTTCTATTTATATAGATGCCTGTAGATTTTTTTTATATTTATTCTTCCTTTTATACTGTTTCACCCTTATTATTATTGCTGTGCTGTGTTGTGTGACTGCTACTGGCTGCTAAATTTCCTTCGGGATCAATAAAGTATCTATCTATCTATCTATCTATCTATGTATCTATCTATCTATATGGGCCTTTTAAAGAATTATAAAACAATCCCCACTGACATGGACCTGAGTAAGGAAACATTCATACAGAAAGCGGAGTTAAAAGCAGGATCTTTTAGTTTGAAATGCAGTGGAGTGAAAGTAAAGGTTTCAAAAATTGGAAATACTTTAGTGACGTACGATCGCTCAGGTCGATCGATTAGATCGGTAATCTTTTGCTTTGTTTCTCTTTCAGCAGGCCTAATCGTGTGGCAGACCAGTGTAATCAATTCCGGCTCCTGATGACGGACATCCTGCTCAGATGAGAAGGAAGATCTCCATTATTTACTCTTCCCTAGAAAACGAACTTGACTCTGTTTATCTCTTAACGTGCTAAACAGAGGTCATAAAGAGCCGAACGTGCGCGGTTACGTCGTGTGAGATTCTCGGAGTCGCAGAATTAAAGGTTTTCTTTGGTTTCGTTGTGCCCGGATAGCCGCCCGGTCGTAGCCGGCCTGCAGGGCGGGGATGTCGGCGAGCGTCGCGCAGGGAACCGCGCTCGGAGCTCCGGCCTCGGGCATGTCCATGTTCCGCTGGCTGGAGGTCCTGGAGAAGGAGTTCGACAAGGCGTTCGTGGACGTGGACCTGCTTCTGGGTGAAATCGACCCGGACCAGGCCGACATCACGTATGAAGGCCGCCAGAAGATGACCAGCCTCAGTTCGTGCTTTGCGCAGCTTTGCCACAAAGCGCAGACAGTCTTCCAGCTCAACCACAAACTGGAGGTAACTTAATACAAATAACCCACATTACACCGAGAGTAATGAGCTAGAACCAACATATACTAGCTATACTCTTTCAAAAATTAACCTGGAGGCTAAACAGTAAGACATTGAATCTCCAGTGAACTTAAATGTGAGGTATGTGTTAGAACTATTTAGAAATGTGATTCAGACGTTTCGAAAATCTCCATAGTTTTCTGTAATAAACCAGTTTTTCAGTTCTTGTACAATGGTTTCCCTACTCTCTTAAAAAAAGGTTGAAGGGTTTTTAGTAACGGCAGTGGTTCTGTTTAGAATCAGGAGTTCTGTATAGAACCGAATGTATATGTGTATATATGTTGTATGTATTTTTGAAAATGGCTCTGTATGGCACCAGAAAGTGTTCTGCTACGTACAACGTCACGCTTGTAACATTAGAGGACCCCTTTTTGGTTCTGTGTAAAACTTATTTCAAAAAGGTTCTTATGGATCATGTAAAACACATTCTCCATTAATGTAAAGTTCCCTTTACTAAAAGTAGGGCTATTTGGGTTCATTTTACTTAAGTTAGCTATATTACCAAAAGTTTGTGAACACCTGCTCATCCAATGTTTTTTTTTCTGAAATCAAGAGTCTTAATATGGAGTTTGTCCCCCATTGCTGCAGTAACAGCCTCTACTCTTCTAAGAAGGAAGGCTTTACACCTCTTCTGTTTCACTGTTCTAATCAATACTGCTCTAAGTTTAGCTCTGTGTTGCTTTATCATTCAGTGGTCAATACATTTCCTCTTTCTAGGCCCCAAGACAAAATGAATATCAGGCTTTACACCGGTTTAGTATTAAGATTTTATTTAGGCCTAACACTGAAGAGTCACATATGGCCTGTAACCCAGTCCTGTAAACCTCCTGTGCTGGACAGTTCCATGTTTTTCTGTTCCGACACCTCAGCTACCTCCAAAAGATCATTCACGAATGATATGACTCAGATGCAAAGGAAACACTAACCCATTTTCATGCAGGAAACTGCTGTAGGTAGCTTCTGACATTTACTGTCATATTGTTGCCGTATTCAGTAGCATGCGTCTTAAAATAATGCCTTAAGAGCTCTGAATTTCAATTACGCGTGATCCACCACCAATATTGACTCAGTTCTCCCGAGAAGCTCTTCTTTGACTGTTTTTGATAAACTCAGGGTTCAAGGGTAAAGTTAACAAATCTGATAAGCGGGGTTGCTAGAATTACAGTTGTATGCAAACGTTTGCAAACCTTACTTTCACTTTACTGGAGTAATAAATAGTAGCTTGATCAGGAACATCTGCTATGTTGTAGGTTATTGAGTTAGATGTATTAGTTTACCTCAGTAGTGCTCAGCACTGATACTCTTTTTCCTTAATAGCTGCAGCTTCTCTGATTGTAAATTAAGAGAGTTTAGGTTTCTGCCTGGGTTAATGGACACTAACATTTTTAAACAGTTCAGACGATGATGATGCAAAAATCTAGAGTGCTTTGTTAAATAAACTAAAAGCAAAAACATGCAAATTAGGGGAAAGTGTTCACACAGGTGACAATGAGTGGGATTAGTTTCCATCTGGCCACATCAGATAGTGATGATAGAAGCTTCAAGAGCACAAATGGAAAAAAAAGAACTGCTTGTTGCGATTTTTCCAGTTCACTTATTATGTCTGGGTGATTCTGAACTGGAAAGAAATATTCAGAATGAATAGTCTGATTGTAATATTCAGTGTGTATGAATGCTTCTGCGAACTGATTTTTAAGCCTTTTGTTTTAAACAGCCAATTCTCCATAGTGACCTACAGCAATAGGATGTTGGCATATAATCCGCTGATAGGGCTGGCGATATGAATAAAATTCAGAAATTCAGTGTCACATTTTCTGAATGTATAATGCTGTCGGATGATAAAAGTTAACATTTATAAAGTTAATGACCTCATTCTTCCTGAATACTGTGAGCCAAAACTAAAAGAACAAACCTGACATGGATTAATTTTGTTTCCTTATTTTTTTTGCTTACAATTACACCACAAGGAGCCTTACATAGTATTGTAAGTAAGTATTGGCCAATAATCTTTTTGTATTTTCTTCTAAGCAATTTAAAATCCATAAAACCCATTAATGAAATGTCCTACATTGGAGTTGTCATGTGCTGGTCCTGTATTTGATGAGTAAATGAGATGAGAATAAAACAGCTGAAAACTGCTTGGTAACAGGAACACCGGTAAATCATGGATATAAAGCTTAATAGGTCCATATCCTACATTTTCCTTTCATTTTTTCCCCCAAGGTCTTCTTGCATGAGTTTTTATACCAAAAAAGTCATTCATTTTTACATGACTATTTTTCCAACACTTTTCATCCCTTAATTACACAGGCTGTTTTGGTGACTGTACCTGTAAGACTGATATGTGTAAATGAGCCCTGTTCTCATTGGCTGCCCTGTATTGTTTCTCATTAATAAAGCAGTCTGGGCTGAAAGACTCCTTGTAACTTCAGCATGAATGGGTCAGGCTAAACAGCTGTAGGCTGAAAAGGCATATATATGTGCATTAGATGGTTTTTGTTGACATAAAAAAATGAATTGGTTTCCACAGATGAACTGTATAGACTGAAGAGTGAACAGTAGTTTTTGAAACTTTCATAGGTTATACACTACATCAACACTTTCAGAAAAGTACAAAAAAAATCAGATTTTTGTCATATGGGCCCTTTAATCACAGAGATGATGCTCATTATCTGTCCAATATATGACTAAAATATCACATAGTCATCATATAGTATATTGCCCAGCTCTGCCTACTGAGACAGTGTGGTCTGAGTGGGCTGGCCAAAAAAACAATGGCCTGCATGCCTAAAGTTTTAAAACCAGTTCCATCATAATAGACATTCTGTCTTAAAAATCAGAATGTAACAGTGCTGGAACCAGTCTAACCTTCTTTAAAGCTCATTCCTTTTTAGAAACACATGCATGTTTAGGGGGAATATGCCTGTAGAACCTGTTCAGCCAGTAAAAGCCCTCATTCAGGTTATTGTACCCTCAGTGTAAATAGTAGGCTGACACTAAGTGTATTGTAGTTCGAAAAGACTAACATTTCCTGCCGGGGGGTTCACACTGCATGTTCATTAGCTGGCAAGGACAGTCTTTTGCTGTTTAAAGATACACAGAAGCTGGTAGATAAAACTACTCAGTCAACATGTCTGGCATGAAACAGAGTGTGTACAGTAATTTATCATTAAAGAGGTTAAATGAAGTCGCATATCGTGTATTTTTTGTGTGAGGGGTGCAAAATTCTTTTTTTGTTAGATAAAGAATCTCCCAGTAGCCTCTATGAGGTGCAACGGTGTATTGTCTGTTAGTTATTTCCTCTTTTTGGTCTTTTTTACCAAGTTTTTAAATATCTAATAAGCCCCTCAAGCAAATCTTTAAATGTATTATTGTGTACTCTGACTATCCTGAGGAATTCTCATGAGTCCCAGATGACTTTCTTTGGGTGTTTTGTTGACTGTCAGCCAACAGATATAAATTATTTTTGGTCTAAATAATGTAGACCACTCTTCATCATGTCATATTAGTGTTTCACCACTATGGTTTTAATATAATATTGAGGCATGACGCAATTGTAGTACACTGCAATATCACAGTTAGGCTTTGGGCCAAGTTTGTTTGCACATACAATACTGTGCAAAAGTCCAAAAACTGTCACTATCAGATAAACACTATTTGAAGCTTTCATCTTATGAGGGATAGAAGTAAATCAAGCTCCTTCAGATCTGAAATAATCCACAGGTAGCAAATATTGAATAATAATGTAAAAATGCTGCAGTGTGGCAGCACCACATCCAACACTTTAACAAGCAATATGTTTATTTTTTATAATGGAGCTGTAATGTGGAGTATTGCTGCTGTAGGACAGCTGTGTCTGTGTGTTTAGCTGCCTTGTTTCGCTCTCTGTCATAAAGTCAGAGCAGTTGGCCTCTTAGCTGTGTGTCTCCTGCTTCAGCATTCTCAGGAGAGCAGCTGAAGTAATCTACTGAATGTCCACCACTTGACAAATCTCTTAAAAGGTTCTTTATCTTAATGCTTAATGCTACTTTAAAGGACTGTCATGATTGCTTGATTTAAAAAATGTAATTGACTACAGTGTAACTAAAAACAACCTTCTTAATGATTAGTTTGTAAAAACAGAGCTTGGTGGCCACATCGTTTATGTACAGTATTTTGATACATTTTTTGTATATATACAGTAGCATGTGAAAGTTTTGGCACCCTAGTCAGATGATATGTTTTTGGTGATTTGAAAATGATGTGAAAATAAGTTAATGCATCCTCTGCAGAGAACACATTTTAATGCATGTTACTTTGCTGAATTAGACAGGTAGGGCACAGTGTGACTGGACTTTTCAAATTATGCAAAAAATGGAAAAAAGAAAATGCAGATGTAAGGTTTCTGTGAAACAGCGACAATATGCATGTTTGTTTTTCTAATTTAAAAAGTCAAAAATGGAGACAGAGATTTTGTTCTGACCATTTCAGTTGAGTCTTTTTAAAGCCTTCTTTGTTTATCTTTTTACAGTGTTCTGTAATCTTTGAAACACACAACAACATTTATTATTCTTTGTTTAGGTTTATTTTTATCCTTTGACTTGGTTTTATATATGTGATAACTCAGTATTTAAATATATAGTGACAGCCCTTGAGCTGTGGCTACATTGTTTCTGCAGAGAAAAGAAAAGGGATTGTTCAAATGGAGAAGTGACTTTGAAAATGGTGCATTATGGTGTTGTGGCATGACTCACGTTCTGCGCCGTTGCAGCAGGAAGATGTTGTATTTCGTCAGAGCTCTGGGAAGAAAAGACTGGACCATTCTAGTAATAGGCAGTACTTCAGCATTCTCAGTCTTTATTATAGATGTCTAAGCGTCTACACTGTTGTTTCTTCACTCCAAGCCTGCTTATTTAGTGTTGGGACTAGTGCCATAGTCCAAAGCCAACAAAGACAACCATCAAGGCTAATGGCCAATCACATTAGATCACTAATGAGCAAAGAACCTGAAAAGTGCCAGCAGCTAAATAACTAGCCTGTTTGAGATACTGCTTTACCAGTCAGATTAGCCTTTGCAGGATTATAAGAATTTTAGGATTAGGCTCAGGCGAGTTATTTCATGTCGCTGAGTTAGCTTGCATGACCGAACAGGTCTGCAGTAATGCCTACCTGAGTGTAATCAAGTTGTTGGGGAAGGCAGGGGTGGGCAGTATGGTAAAAATATAACAAATATAACAAAAAAATCACAGTACTTCAAGATGTAATGCTTTTCTGAGGTTTAATTAAAAAGAACCAGCAGTACCACATGAGAAAAAAAAAATCTATCAAAAACTATGAACATAATGATTTTGCTTCAGTGTTTCACACACTGCGTTGAGCTCCTTGTAATGAAACATTCAGCTGGTCAGTACTGGCAATATCCATGATATGCTCCAAAAAAGTATTTTGTATAGCAGTGTAACAGTTTTAATGATGATTATAAGTGTCATCATATTGCCTATCCCTAAGTTTGGAATGGTTAAGTTATAAACTGTTGTCAACTTACAGCGTGCTAACTTGTGTAATCAGACTTAAGCCAAAGGAGAAAACTTTCATAGGAATTAGAGCTGGCCAATACAATGAGGGGAAATGGGGAAAAGGTACTCAGACGCTTGTTTTTTATGTTGTATATTTCCAGTGCATTACCCTCCAAATTTACTTATGTTTTTTGCTTTTATATTTGTACATATGAACGAAAAATATGTAAAAAATAAAAGATACTTTTAATAAACAAATTGATAGGGGAAAAGTATTTAGACACCAAAAATGAACCTTAATACTTTATTGGAAAGCCACTGTTGGCATTACAACTTTGATATATCTGCAGGAAGAAGTATTTTGCTTTTTGCAGCATTCTGGTTCAGTTTTGGTCCATTCCTCTTGACAAACTGTCTTCAGTTCCCCAAGGTTATGAGGGTCCCTCTGATGGGCTTGCAGTTTAAAATTCTCCACAAATTTTTATGATTAGGATTAAAATTGAGTAGGCCGTGCAAACACCTTTACCTTCTTTTGAGAAACCAGTCTTCTTAGAAACCAGAGTTATTTTGGCTGTATGTTTTAAAATGCCCAGCTACTTCCCAGAGATTAAATTCTCCTCTAATATCTACTCGTGCACTTCTACATTTATGGCTCCTTCAATGACTTGTAATGGCCCAGTGAAGCAGCTCCATGTCTTGATACTCCCACCTTCATACTTCAGTGTGGATGTTCTTAGGATCATATTTGCAACCCTTACTTCTCCAAACATGATGAGCTGAACTATTACCAAAGAGCTGAACTATTATCAAAGTGCCAAACTATTACCAAAGTGCATTGTTCCAAGAGTTCCCTTTGGTGTAATTTTAACGAAAGAAAACAAAACAAAATAGATCTATTTTAGCTTGCAAGACATTCTTTTAGCATCGAGAAGCAGACTAATCGGTAATACCATGACGTATCTGCAAAATATTCTGACATGAAATTTCATAAACACAACCACAAACTAACAGGAATGCTATCATACTGTTTTTTGCTGCATCATTTGTTTTCCACTGAAATCAGACCAATTTATGTGAATAGTTATCTGGTCATCATGTAGTGTAGAAACAATTGCCACCATGAGTGTAAATCATTAAGCAGTGTCGTGGTGATCAGTCATCATTCTTTTCGCGCCGTTATTGTTAATAATGGGATATCAGCACGGATAAATATTCAGTATCAATTTTGTGTTTTCGGTGCCAAATACAAGGATGCTTGAGAGAGCCTTTACTGTGGTTTTTAACGTTAAGTAAATCAGAGGTTCGTCTTTCTGAGGGCTGCTGTTCATGTCTCAGGCTGCAGTGCCTCTGAGAGACAGACTCAGTGGGGTCTAGGAGGGTTGAGCTGTTCTTTGAGGAAAGCCATTAGTGCTGGATCCACCTTTATTAACCACTGGTCATAAATGCCTGAGTAAGTAAGAGCTGGCTGTATACTCCACCAGAGTAAAGTGCAGGAGGAAAATACATAAAGATACTGCAATAAATGTCATCTTGTGTAATAGGAAAGATTTAAGCAGGGTTCTAACATGCTGCGCTGTGAACTGATGTTAATCTTTATCAATGTATATCATTTCTCCTGGTGTACTGGGTGTCTTCCAAAAATCAGACAGTATGTCTGAGCGCTATTTAAATTTTGTAGTTGACACGGATTTTAAAGAGCTAAAAAATTACATTAATGTTCTACTGCTGTAATTTTATGTTTTAGATTATAATTTTATACTCTAATAATCTTAGTTATTTGGTGCTTTACTGACAGATACAGTCGTATGCAAAGGTTTAAACACAAGTAAGTTAACACATCCTCTACAAGGAACAAACTTCAATATGCCATTTTTCTGAAAATTTAATGTACAAGTTCTGTTTTATTTGCTGAGTTTAACCTATTGGAAACAATAAAATATAAAGTATGCCATAAAATGTGGCCTGTGCAAAATGTTTTTTTCCCAGTATGTTAAATTTAGCAAGTAGGCAGCAATAGTGCGTTTAAAGGGAAGTGTGTTCTCTGTGGAGGATGTGTGAACTTTTAAGTTATAAACTGTTGTAAATTTGTGAACTTAAGTTGTTAACTTAAAATATCTTTTATATACAACTGTACGATTCAGTTCTCAGTGGTCACAGTTCTTAAACAGCAGGAAACATATATATATATAATGTGTATGTTATACATTTTTATCTTGGCTAAAGTTAGGATTGGAAATTCTGTTTCAGGACTTGAAATACACTTTGTCATGTTTGGTTGGCCAGCCAAGTTTGTAATGGTTATGGTGGTTGTTAACCCTAAAAGTATTATGAAACTGATCTGAAATTTATAATATCTCTTATCTCGTGGTTTTATAATTGGTTATAATGATCAATAAAGTATGCACAATTTTTTTAGGACAAAATCAAATGTGCTTTATGCATTGGTTTTATTATGTGTGTTCCACTACTGTGTAAATAGGCTTGGCAGTGAAATTTGTTTTGCATATATATATATATTTAATACTATTTCCCACCAAAATAATGAAATAATCAGGTTGAATTTTGGGGAAATTTCAGATTTCATGAGACATTTGAATCGTTTTGTTAATAAATTAAGGTTAGAGATTCGCACCTGTACTAATACAGTTATGTGGTGTCTCTTATGTATTTGTCTGCAGGCTCAGCTGGTGGATCTGAAGTCAGAGCTGACGGATGTACAGGCAGAGAAGGCTGTGGTGGAGAAGGAGGTTCATGAGCAGCTGCTCCAGCTCCACGCCCTCCAGCTGCAGCTCCATGCCAAAGCTGGCCAGGCAGTCGACTCCAGCTCCATCAAAGACAGGATGGTGCGCTTCAAACTCACTCTACTTTCTGCTCCGTTTTCCCCTTGCTTGAAATACAGTCGATCAGCCATGCTGGGTTGGCAGGTGGTGGGGTTGGGTTGGTGGTTTGGGGAAAAATGTGTAAATTTGATTTGTGGCTAAATCATTTCATTAAGGGAGAACTCTTTTAGATCAGGTCTTTTGCCATTAGTGCTTAAAAGTTTGGAATCGCTGTTCAGATGTTTAAAAGAAAATGTTTTTAGTAATCTAAAACCAGTTTGCTTGCAGGCAAGTGTATAAAAGGATTCTAAAATGTTAGTTCTGAACAGCTTTACAGGTTTCTAGTAATTAGTAGGATGTCTGAAAGCCAGTAAATAAAAATGAAGAAATTTGAGATGTGTCCAGAATGATGAACGGAGCTGTTGAAGATTCTAGCCTGACCGAAATAAACCTGTACACTAGACTCAAGAATTAGGTTATAATAAAATTCTCTAGAAGGTGTCTTGTTTTAAAAGTGGAGATCAAATCTCAAGGCAGATAACTTGACAAATGAAAATACAAATAGATAATTACAGTATATTACTTATGATTTTATTGCCTTATTATTATTTACAGAATTTTCAGAATATTGAATAAAATGTAAAAATACCTTTTGGCAAATGGTTTGTAATATTTAAATAAAGTTATTATTGCATACAAATGAACAAAGAATATTAATATAGCAAATGATTATTCCCAACATTTGGATGGTAGTGTAATTTTTGCATGACTACTGCATTACAGAAAATGAAAAACATTCTGTTATTATAGGATTTTACATTACTTACAAAAGCAGTGAATGAGCTTATTGCTAACATACTGTTTGGTTTGATCCTCTGTTTTAACTCTTCTCTCCTGCTGAGTCTATAGAGTTATCCTGAATGATTACCTATAATGCTTTTTTTACCTGCTTGACCCTTTAACACTGCGTTTCTAACTTTTGACATTCTGTTTCTCTCCTTGGCTCTAAGCCTGTTCCTTCCGTGGAGGAGATGGTAAGTGCTTCGTAACTCTGTGTTATACTTTCTCTGGGGCTGTCACTGTTGATTGTTAGAAATCAAGAAATCTGCCAATTATTTTAAGAATTAATTGAGCAGTGAAAGTTAAAGTCCAAGCAGTAAAAACAGACTTAGCCAAAGCTTGCAAAGTCTCCAAAATATTGTATTGGATAAAGTTAACTTGGAAAACCTTAAAAGACCTTATTTAAAAATGTTGTGTAGCTTATAAATGGATCATCAGGCTCTGTTTCTTACTGTAAGATAGACCAGTAAGAGATTTTAAAATGTGTATTATCATCAACTAATCATTGCTGATTCATTCAAAGTCAATTTTAATCAGTTATTTTTTTTTTCAGTAGTTGAGCATTTGAGTTTGAGTAATCGTGACAGCCCCAATGCTCTTGTGTTCTGTCTATACTGCTGTCCTTGTAAAGGAATGGTTCAGTGAAAAAGCAGATTTATACAATTGTCCACTTACCCCAAATGTAGTCCATCAGCCAAGACATGTTTAATTTGCAAATTTAGCTTCTTTAGTTTAACACTGGAGCTGTAAGGCTGACGTTGAAACTTCAACCCACTTAAACCACATCCAGATCTTTATTAAGTTCATGCTGACTTGATGTCATTTAAAGCACATTATGACAGTGTGAATGTGGCATGCAGTCGTTTTAGATAAAACGTGTTTTGCCAAATTTTGATTCCTCAGAATTCGACTCCCTTTCACATGTATATGTCACATGGACATGTATACTAGGTGATGTTCCATTTCTGTTGTTTCTATTTATAGACATAAATCTTCATTTGTAAAATTCAAGATAAACGGTTATTTTTAAAAATTGACTACAAAACTCATAGTCTGTGACATCTGTATGCGTGCTTGACATGCATGCCCATAAAAAGGAGTCAGAATTCAGCACAACACCTGCGGTCTAAAATGTCTTCCCACTCGTTCAGCAACAAAGTGAAGTTTTTTTTTTCATTTTTAGAGTTGACAGTAAGTTGCTTCGTGCTCTAAACCACATCCACAGTTTTATGTACATTAAGACCTGGATGTGGTTTCAGAGGGTTGAGAGAAGTATTGGGGTTGTATATATAGAAAAGCTTTGGGTGACTATTAACTTCTAGTGTTTGTTAGCAATGTTAACTTTCTAGCTCCAGCACTAAATTAAAGAAACAAAATTTAGACACAAAACATGTCTTAGCTGATTGACTACATCTGAGCTCAGTGGAAATTGTGGAAATGTGATTTATTACTGAACCATTACATGTCTGTTATAGAAGTGTAGCTTTGTACATGTGTACTAATCCAGTTGGTGTGCTTTACCGGTGAACAGTCATGTTTGTCTTTGTTCTATATGTTTGCATTGGGCTTATAAATACAATGTCGCTATTGACGCACTGGCTTGGATTTAGTCAAAGAGCTGGTAGCCTCTGTGACAGAATTCTGTGCCAGTTTTCTTTTGAGATTCATTCCACCACTCAGCCCATGCTGCATCATGAAGGCCAATGCTTTGGACTAAAGCAAACCTTTGTTAGTCTGCAGTCCTTGTGTGTCTAGACTGCTGTTGTGGGTGGGGTCTAGCTAGCAATGTGGAGTGTGTGTGTGTGTGTGTGTGTGTGTGTGTGTGTGTGTGTGTGTGCGTGTGTGTGTGTGTGCGTGTGTGTGTGTGTGTGTGTGTGTGTGTGTGTAGGGTGGCCCTGGTGGAGTCTGAGGGATGCTCTTTTTATTCTGGCCCCAGTGGCTTGCCTAAATAGAGCTGCAACTAACAGTAATGAGGGGTGACTGTGTGTGCCCCAGGTGATTATACTGCCTGTGTGTGTGTATGTGTGTGTGCATGAGGAGCTGCTGGGTCTCCTGCACACTACAGCAAGGCTGCTCCACAGCTACAGAACGTCCTTCCACTCTTTCGAGTGAAATCTAGCTGCACATTTGCAAATCAAGTCCCATGGGTTATTATTAGCTTTTGGAAATTGTTAAAATTGGACAGAAAATATACTTCAGTGCCTCAAGAAGAACATTGTGAGCGTGTGTACTGCACACAATATAGAGTGTGAAGCTCTGTAGTCGTTCAGACCTCCGTGTTTCAATATTTTACTTATTTTCAAAGTCCAGTTTCTGTCATGGTGCTGTTTACATTGCCATGGCCATGTCACTGCCTCTGAAACATCCACTCTGTCCTGATCAGGCAGACAGTCTAGTAGGCTGACATTCACCAAAGCTGGGGCTGGTTCCTGGGGCTTGGTCTGCAAGTTGCAGCTGGACTTTTTTTGATAGCTTGACAGCTTTTGCTTGTGTGCGTCTGTGTGCGCATGTGTACAACAGGAGAAGGAACTGGAGGCCAGTAAGAAAGAAAAAGTGAAGGAGGTGAAGCTGGAAGCTGAAGTGAGGATGCTTAAAAAAGAGAACGAGGCCCTCCGCAGGCATATCGCTGTACTACAGGCGGAGGTGTACGGAGCCAGACTGGCCGCCAAATACCTGGACAAGGAGCTTGCAGGGAGGTAACTGAAATACAGAGAGTCTGTTTCAAAATGGCCAGCGGGCAGTTTCTAGAAACCAGAGACCAGGCTGTCCATTGGGAAGAATGCAGATAACTGAATTGGCAGCTGTGTTTCGCAGGGTTCAGCAGATTCAGCTGTTAGGCCGAGACATGAAGGGACCAGCTCATGATAAACTGTGGAACCAGCTAGAGGCCGAGATCCATCTTCACCGCCACAAGACAGTCATCCGAGCTTGCAGAGGGCGCAATGACCCGAAGAAGCCTCTAGCATCACCAGCAGGACATGTAAGATTAACACTCATAGCGCTGATTTTCCAGACTCTTATTATGCCTAAAGTTGGACTAATACAAAGTCAATGCAGGTACAACCTCCATAGGATAGTGTCCGCTATGTCACTAGCTCTCTGCTCTTCTTTCATCAGGACCCAGACTCTCTGAAGAAGACTCAAGGAGTCGGCCCCATACGTAAAGTAGTTCTGTCTAAAGAGGATCATGAGGGCCTTGGAATCTCAATCACAGTGAGTGCAGACTGATCTTTTTCAAAAGAGCTAAATTTCTTCCATCCTTTTCTAAGAGAATTTTGAGATTGCACATAGGAAAACCTGAATGAAAGGAACAGAAATTTGAAAAAAACATTTAAATATCACAGAAGAACAGCTTTTATGTTCAACTGAGGTGGAAAAGTTGCTCTATTCCTCTAAGGATGAGATGCAAAAAGAGTCAAGCTGACCTAGTTTAATCTACAAAAGCAACGTCCGAGCAGTACTACATGGAAAAGAGTGAAATGGCTAGATTTTTACAACAAAAATGTTGGCTTAAGCTGTGGGCCATTTGTGCTGTTTCAGCTCTCAGTAAATGTCCCACTCAGCTTTTCCCACTCAGTGTCTCTGAGCTGCATGAAACACAGCCGTGTACAGATGACAGAGGGCTTTTATGACTCCTTTACACAGAGCAAATTCATATCACACCATTAGGCTACTGTTTGTTTGGTGATATTTTGTTTACATACGTTTAATCTTGTTTTGTCATCTTCAGGATTTTTACACAAAAGTAGATAATGGAAACACAGAAAATGGACTTTTCAGATATTCCCTTAATATAAGTGTTTGAGAGGGAACCTACTGTGTCACACAAAAGAGTGTAGAAGTTACTATAAAACTCAAATCTGCTGAAGTTTTTACTTAAATAAATTAAATTAAATTAAATAAATTTAATTTAAAATTTTGAATATTTGTTACCTTTCAGATGTTTTTAACAGCATAAAACCAATTTGTTTAAACATCCAGAAGGTCTTGTGTGAAGAGCAGTGATTAGATCTCAAAGTAGATAACTTATCAAGAAATCACAATAAATGAATATATATGTTATAGTATTTATAGTTTAAGTAGTTCTTGGTGTCCGCGAAAAATGCATATATTGAATAAAAATACCGTCTGGCATCAGTCTACACAATATAAGTTATTATTGAATAAAATAAAAGCAGTGATTAATGTGGCCAGTGAATGTTTGAAAGGTATTTCAAGATCTGCAGAAGCTGAAGTTTTGCATGTGTTTCTGATATGATGTCTTTGTTGCTCAGGGAGGTAAAGAGCATGGCGTTCCCATCCTGATCTCTGAGATCCACCCTGCCCAGCCTGCAGAGCGCTGTGGGGGGCTGCATGTGGGAGACGCCATCTTAGCCGTCAACAACATCAATCTGAGAGACGCCAAGCACAAGGAGGCAGTCACAATCCTCTCCCAGCAGGTTAAATCCTCTTTCAGTGCACACTTCTCAAACGAAAGGAGATCACTGAATGCATGGCCTTTATTTACTGTGAAATGCTGACTTCAACCTTATTTGAGCTCAATTAATTTTACCTGGTGAGGTGCTGTATTTCGAGTGATTATCAATGAGAGCCTTGATTGTAATCAATTGCGAATCTGCCATGTCTGTAGTTTTTACAAGTCTGCTGAGTAATTACTCCAAAGCTAATCAGGCCACCTTCTATAATTTGTCAAACTCAGAGCTCCTTCAGTAATAGTAGTCCTGTTCAAATCGACCTCTTGGTAAAGTAATAACAAATCCTGGTATTAGACATTAGCACCTTTGTTTTTTGGTGACCAAGAGACAGAGCTAATTCGGCTAATTGGAAGGAGAATGAAATTAAATATTGATTTGAATAGCACATTCTGACCTGTTGGGTGACATTTGTTAAGTTAAATAAGCCCACTTTACTAGCCTAATGCTGTTCTGTCTGGGAGTTAGCTTTTGTTATTTGTATGTTTTGGATCCTTTTAATTTTAGTTGTAATGCTGAAGTGAACATCCTGGCTATGATGCTTCAATCTGGGTTACCTGAGATAATTTAGGGAAATCACAGATACTTTATCGCATACGAATCAGTCAGTTGAATCCCTTACATTATTAGACCTCCTCAGGTAAAACTAATCCAGCTGGAATACAGTTTTAGTTGGACTTAGCACTGCACTGACATTTTACTATGTGTCCACCGTATGTATGTAACGTGTATGTGTTGTTTACAGTAGCTCATGAGAACCTAGATGTAAGCAGTTTGATTTGGGAGAGTAGTTGTTAACATTGACTGAGGGTCATATCTTTTAAAAAATATATATTTAGGAACCTTTTATGATCTTTTATAGAATGACCTAAGGTTAGGAGTAAGAAATATGGCTTAAAACTTGACAATCTTGTAGTGGTTGCATACTGTTGCTGTTTGAACAAAACTTTGCATTTCCACATTAAGTGCCTTTCAAAGATAAGAACGTTTTTTCCTTCTGTAAAGTTACCATTTTGGAGATAAAAATTTGTACAAACAGCAACAGTAGAGCAACATGTCTCTGTCAAATTAAATCTTTGGAAGTTTGTTTTTATCCAAAAAAGTGAAGGTTTAAACCAAAAAAGTGAAGGTTTGCTTTGACCACTGATTTTGTTTGACTTTTATTGGTCAGTTGTTCATTTAATGTTCATACATTTTAATGGGCAACTGACATCTTCAAAGGGTGGAAAATATTAAAACATTAGAAAAATTGAGTTGGGTATAACAACTCACAATACATTTTCTTCTCCTGTAAAATTTTCTGTTCTAGAGATCTTTCATGGTTTTCTTACAGCAGTGACGAATAGTAATTGAAGTATATGATCAATATTGTTATTGAACACATTCCAAATCACACCTACCTTCTGAATGTTGGAGATGTGGAGTGTAGTCCATGAGTGGTCTTTGTACTTGGAGTCCTTCAGGCTTAGTGCTGTGTAGGCGAGTGTTTGACAGTGAGGTTGTTCAGTTTAGTTCACTGAACAATCACGTGCCGCTGCAGTAGCACTCAGTCTCACACACATTCACTCTTTCCTGAATTTTTCTGCTCTGTTGCAGAGAGGGGAGATTGAGTTTGAGGTGGTGTATGTGGCTCCGGAGGTGGACTCGGATGATGAAAATGTGGAGTATGAGGATGACAGCGGCCATCGCTACCGCCTGTATCTGGATGAGCTGGAGGAGGGTTCAGCCTCCAGCCACGGTAACGGCACTGCTGAGTCTGCCTCACTGCAAGGCAAGTTTTCACTGAGAGATAATAGCTGTGGTACAGTTTAATGCTAAGTGCATAAGATGCATTAGTGTTTGGGTGGACTATGATGTTACTTATATGAAAAGTGTCACCTGCATAGAGTTTACAATGCTAAAGTTCAGATAACCGATAAAATTGACTGATTTATTTTTGTACAGTGAGTAAATAAACATTCTCCAGTAGTTGTACACATTTTTCCAGTTTTCAGATATGAGTGTCAACCAGATAAATAGCATAAACTCTTGTTTCCCAGACATTTATTAAGCCTGGTCTTAGACTAAGCTACAGTGCCAATGGTGAATCACCATCAAATTTAAGTGTAGGCTTAGGCCTAATCTGGGTCTAGGAAACTGACCCATAAAGTCTTGAACAATAAGGGTGAGACAGTTTTGAAAAAGTGAAAAGATCAGTATATTTATATATATATATATATATATATATATATATATATATATTTATATATATATATATATATATATACACACACACACACATGCACATTTATACACATAATGTAACTGTAATATAACTAACCAATAGCAATGAAAACATTTATACTGTAAATGGATATATTGTGTGTGTATATATACATACATACATATACACACAATATATCCATTTGCCAGAAAGGAAGACCGAGCTTCAGGCTCTTGTGTGAGTTGGCGGAACTCCTGCTAAACCTTTTGTTTTGGACTGAAAGAAAAAATGTTAGCTTTGTCTGCATTACGTCTCCCATGCTCTAAGTGCTTAATAACAAAGATATTTTCCATCTGTGGGAAAAGACATCATGACAACCAAACATTAAACTACAATTAATAAAGAAAAATATTAGTTCTGATGATGGTTTCACAGTGTTAAAGAACACAATGACCAAAGGCATGGTTCATTTAAAAGAGAACATGTGTGGTCCTTTTTCATTGGATTTAGGGCAGATCAGTATGTAAAATGTTGAGTAAACATGTACCCAGAGTTTGATGACTGTGTTTAAATGTGGCAATTTTAAAGCACTGTGTCTGTTTTTCGTGAAACTGTGTTAAGTATCATAATGTTTGATACATCCCGCACCCATACTGGAATATGGTTTTATTATCTAACGTTTAAAAACGAGTTTCAACTGATGCTGATGAATCTGTGGAACCTTAATATCATCCAGTTTATTGGCTAAGCAACTTATCATGCATCATGGCTGCATTCATTCAGTTACTCTTTCTCAGTTCACTACACTACCGGAAAAATCATATGCTTACTTTTTAGGCTACTCTGCAACACTTTTACAGTCATGATGTCCTTACCTGCATCCTGTCTCCTGAATGTCTACCAGTTTTTTTCAGACATCAGAAGGGAATCGTTCTGAAAATGTGTAGGGTGAATGGGCCCTTAATTGTTTTTCTGTGTTGTAAATGAAAGTATGTATGACATCTTGGTTTCCTGATGGTCTCTCTTCCTGTGCAGTTGTGGAGAAGCACCTGATGGCTGATGGAGGTGAGAACGGAGACACGGGCATCTCCAGCGAGAGTCCTTCAGAGGAGACGCCCTCAAAAACGGCCGAGTCTCCAGAGAGCTCCTCCTAAAGAGATTACAGCGAGCTGAGGGAGAGGGAGAGAGAAAGACTCTGTCCATGTATGATATGTAACATACAAGATGTGTTTTGTACTATATGGAGAAGAGACCATTTCAGAGTCCACTGGAGATTGCATGGAGACACAAAGAAGAAATGGAGGACAGTTTCTCACATGGTGGTCATAGAAAGGCACAAGGAGCATTTGCAAATCCGTCACCATTTGTGGTAATTACAATGTAAAACAAATGCAAAGAAGCAGAGAATTATCTGGGTTTATGATCTGCTGTTTCAAAGCATGAATCTGCTCCAGTTCCAATATGGTGCAAGGGATGTAGGGCTGCACAATATGGACAAAATACCATATTGCGATATATACTAAAAACACATTGGTGAATTTTTAGTGTAACATAGTCAACAACTGGCCTGCAATATTTCATCCAAAACATTTGTTGGATGTTGTCTTTTCTTGATTGATCGAAATCCAGCACATTTGTGATTGGTCAGAATGCTCACAGCATACAACAAACTATTGACAAATATTATATTGTGCAGCCCTAAAAAGATGGGAAGTGTTTTTCGTACGTTGCATAGTAACGGCTGTGTGCAGTTGCTGATCCTGAACAGGTAAGCGGTACTGCTGTGGTGATCTAGAATCCCTTTATTCCTATTCAAATACATTTAAACTAGCAACAAGTTGATGTCAACCTACAACATATAACCATTATCAAACATAAACCTTTTTTGTCTTTTTAACCTAGTCTGTCCTGCTAAGCCTTCTGCTGTTCAAAGCCAATGAAAATCTGATGACATTACCTCTCGTTATGGTTTGGTGGAATGTAATGACTCTATTTAAAACACACCATACACTATAAAGTACATTGGAGACATCACTAGGCCTGTCACAATAAATTTGAGTTGAAGATTATTTGTCATGTGTGAGTTCAAATAACATTTATTCCCTTTTTTGTTCTGTTGCAAGCCATAAGTGGTCGGATTGGCTGATTAGCTGTTCATAGCTGTTGTGGCTTAGTAGCTCCCAGTCGTCCTTGCCGTTCTTCGAGGGTGTTAATGCACATCAAATAAACAAACGTTACTCAGCGCTGACCTCCAAAGGTGTTATAGCACCAATCAAAGATTTTTATTGTTTTGGTAACACTCATGATTAGTCTCAATAACTGCTTTTTTTTTATTTACATGTATTTGCCTCAAACCCTGCAGATGAAAACACACCGAACACAACATAATTGCGATCCACTCAAATAATTGCGATAGGGAAAGGACATAATAATTGTGACAGGCCTAACATGACGTCTCAATAAATGCATCTTCAACTTCTTTTATTTACATGGATTTGAATGAAAACGGTAAACGTATGATTGTGAAAGCTAACAGCTGTGGAGAATAATTGTGTTCCTGCTAATATATAATATTTGTGACAGACCTAGATATCACATCACTCTCAGTGTTTCATCCTGTTGCTGCAATACCTCTTCTCTCACAGTATCTGTAGCACAGTTCGATGGATTTAGTGGGGTTTCTTTGGTTAAAGGACATGTTCTAGAGCAATGTGTAAAGCACAGAATCTGTTGAGTATTTAATATGAGAATGCATGAGAGATTGTGTCAGGACAGTTTTATGCACAGTATGTTAAGAATGCTTCCACAATGCAACACTGATGATGATGATAGCTAGATGGTTATTATAGTTATAGGATGTTTAAAAGGCTAGAAGTAATGTGAAACAGTTTAGTCCATTAGTTTGTTTATTTTGCTGGGAGATGTCAGTGTCTGTGATCCTGAGAATGAACTGGGAGACCAGGGTATTTTTGGACAAAGCAGGATTTCTGTGTAAGCTAGATAACTTAATGGGATACTCCAGTGTTTTTCTAATGTCTATCTGCTGCATCTGTAGGATATGTTTGATCACTGAGGAAAATAATTGTACAGAATTTACAGAACAGAAAAAACATACTTGAAACCTACTCATAATAGAAAGCAGTGGGCAGATGCTTCAAATGTTGTAAGTATATATTAGGTTGACTGTTTTTCTGTTCTGTTTTTTAAGTACTGGGATGCACATCTACATTATTATCCACAGTAATGGACCGAATGCTACAGATGCAGTAGATCAGTATGGAAAGTCACCAGAGTATTCTAGGGATGCAGTGATATTGTAATTGTGGGCAAAAGCAGATATGCAGTATTTTTGTACATAGCTGTTAATGCCGATGCAGATACATACATTTCTAAAATGTAGAAATGTAGCCTAAATTTACTTGAATTAGCGCATCAGAGAAATCTAACATTTCTGTAGTGTTAAATCAGGTAAAATGAATAAATTGCAGATATTTTAGCATTAAAATCCCACCAGCATCTATCTGATGCTGGTAAATATTTGAAACAATTATCTGCTGATACTGATATGATTTCAATATCACTTCATCCCTTGAGCTAATAAAGTGAGCAATGTCCAGTAGAAACATTCCCGACCTCCTATTGAACAGGCTTGATTTTAGGCTTAAGTTATCTGCCTTAGAGGTTTGTGAAATACCGTCCAACACAGTGACCATCTCTTCCTTTTCTGCATGTCCTGCTCTGGTGTGTCACCTGAAAAAGTGCAATATGTGTGTTTTAGGTGTTGGGAGAAGAGGTTTCTTGTTGCTCTCTCCTCCACATATCGTTTTCGAGCCATGCTTTGTGACCACTCTCTCACTAATTTCCTCAAAGCTAAACCTTTATTTTGATACACAAAACCTTACAGTGATGTCTATAAGAATTCATTTCCAGATGACTATAAACCTAAGAGAACATCTGTTTCTTTCTCAGATGCAACCTAAACGAATACCCACTGACAGCTGCATATTTATGTAGAGTTTATCTGTAAAGAATTTTAGCTAAATAGCAATAAAGAGAAACTCCTGTACCAGTATTTCATCTGTTCGCTGCTCTAAGTCCTGCAGAAATGTCACTTCACCTGTACACATAGCCAGCGTGTGTGTCTTTTGCACTGTGGTTCTCAAAACGGTCCTCAGGGACCCCCAGACAGTCCACATTTTTCCTCTGTCCCTACAGGTCCTCTTTTCATTGGGCGCTGAGGACCGGTTTGAGAATCACTGCTCTAGTGAACTTAGCCTAGTTCCTGTAGGTTGACACTGTATTTCTGAACTCCTCCATACTCTAAAGCTCCTTGAAAACAGGACAGTGTTTCAGACAATCGGCTCATGGCCATTTCTTGTCGGGGTGTGGGTCTGTGTAGGGTGAGTTGGCTCAGTGGAGAGGATTTTCAGTTACTGATGGTTGGGTACTGTGGTGTAGGTAGGGGGGAGCAAACTGCATGCCGTAGGAAACACCAACAGGCAGAAAGTAGCCTAGAGGAATAAATGCTCCTGTAGTTTTTACCATTTTTACCCTACCAGTTTTCATATGGTTTGTGTGGTTGTTAATCTTTCCTCTTATTTTCCCCTCTAGTGTCATATGATCTGTATTTCTGCAATCTAAAGAGATTTCGTATAAATGTCTTATATCTGTAGTTACTGTATAACAATATTTGAATAAACTTAAATTTATTTGCCCATTTAGATTCCCATTTTATTTGCTCATATCTGATGATATTCAGCAGAAATTAAAAATATTGTGCATACACTTTGCAAACTGACAACATAGTACCTACAAAAAAGTTCTTTGACTTGGTGATGGAACCATTTTAAAAGGTCCTTAAAGAAACATAAACAACAAGTTTTTCATTACGAGGAAGCATTTAACCATGCATGGAGCCATTAATGGTTCTTTAAGTGTTCTATATATACCACCTTTGCTAACCATTACTAAAGAACCTTTGAGAAACCATTTTAAGGGTCTAGCTTGATTACATGATACATGAAGGATAAGGCTTACTGTGAAATTGTTAATTGTGTTGTTCCAACACTAGAGGGCGACATGTAAACATATCAATCAGCATGATGGTTCTTATCACACCCAGTTTAAAAAAACCTTTATTATGGAAAAACTACATTTTGTTTTGAGGTATGTAAACATTAAGTCTCAAAATGTATTTACTCTCCACTTGCAAAAAGAGCTCATTTAGAAGTTGTTTTTTGTGATGTCACAAAAACCAACAGATTTTCATATCCTCCTACAGCAATTCAGCATCACCAGTTTCGCGTTGAAGTTATGAGGAGTTTCAGACCAGTCTGGTGAAAGGCACAATACAGAGCAGCCAATCAGAGCTGAAGTCATTTACATATGTTACATAAAGGTACAATAACAAAAACAGTCTAAAGAGAGGTTGGAAATGGAAAAGTAAAATGAATGGTAAGGGTTTTTGGTACATAAACCCACACAAATGTAATAAGTGGACCTCAGGCAAAATGATACAGTATAACAAAAATGTAGGATATTGGCTCTGGTAATCAACCACATGCTACACTGAATCAAAATATTTGCTGAATAATAGTGAATAATCTAGTCTATTTATGAGTTTAGGCCACCTGTGCCAGGCTCCAGTCCTCGCAGGCCAAAACACTGCAGACTTCAGAACAATACTTCATTATGTTCACCTGATTCAGCTCATCAGCTAATTAGCAAGGTCTTACTGAACTGAATTCAGAGTGTTAGATGTGGGTAAACGCTAATCTCCGACGCTCTTTGGCCTGGAAGGTCCCCAATTTGACATCAGCCTTTATATTCCACATTATATTACACCCTTAAAAGTGGGGGTAAACAGAATTCCCACATCAGTATCTGGAGTATCTGTATCTGTAGCAGTGCGACACATTTCTCTCTTTTTATCAAACTGCTGCAAAACCAAAAGTGCTGCATTTATATTTTGTTTGGCATATATATAACCAAAAGAACTCAAAAAAACAGTGATGGAAAAAACATTGTCCATGGTTCTTCAAAGAATCTCTTGAAAAAGGGTTCTGCTCTTGTTATAAGTCTTAGAATTCTTTGCTGAATGTCTTAAGTAAGCAGGTTGTCTGTTCTCTGTGCTGCAGATGAGGCAGATGGGGATTAGACTGAAAGACGCAGTGTTCCTGTAACACATGCATAGTTAGAGATTCATTGTGATATATTCTGCAAACGCACACACAGTGAGCAGAAGACCCCTGCTGTTTATGGTGTGCATGAGCAGACTTGTATGGAATTTCAGGCTGAGTGGGGAGGCCCTGGAGAAGCTCCTGTGTGCTTTTTCATGTTGCTTTGATGCAGGAGCTGTGTTCACATGGCAGTGAGAGCTCGCAGATGGGGGGGTAGAACGAGTGGGGAAGCTGTGTGGAAACTGTAGTCCACACCCAGGCGTGAAGCGCCCAGACGAAGCCCACACAGACACTCACCCACACCACAAAGTCAGCCTTAGTAATGAGGTTAGAACCGTTCACCTGAGCCAGCTGCCCGCAGTACTCTCTGACGTTTACTCATGAGCTAAATGTTCCTTAGTACAGTATGCATATTTATCCACAGTCAGGAACCCTCAGGGTCTTCTAGGCCTTCAGAGGCCTTGTCTGTAATTTAGCAGTGATGACTGAATACTGAATAAATGTATTCAGTAATGTATTCTATTATAAAATGACATTAATAAAGTAATGTATTCAAAATACATTTGGAATATATATTGATGAGGCACAAGGGAAGAAAATCTGCTGTTGTAACTTTTATTTCACTCTCACTGTTTCTCGCTGTTACTTGTGGGAAGTTTTCTTTGTGTCATTCACCCGTTAATGTGTTTATTGAAAAAATCTGCTGATCATTTGTATGAAGTTAAACATTTTTATTTTTTTAACTCACCGCTTGCTCCACTGCTGCTACAATGTCCCTAGCAGGTGTCCAGTACAGCACTGATGCTAAGCTTATAAGCTATGAACATGTCCACTACTGAAAAGACTGCACAGTTTCACTGTCCCTCAAAAGAGTATAATAAAGAAGAGATTAATAATTGATTAATAACACAGTGATTTATAAGGCTTTAGCAGAGCTCAGTAACACTGAGATTAATAACTGATCATCACATTGGTTTATCAGTCCACTCAGGCTTTAGCAGAGCTCAGTCACACTGAGATTAATAACTGATCATCACATTGGTTTATCAGTCCACTCAGGCTTTAGCAGAGCTCAGTAATGCTGAGATTAATAACTGATCATCACATTGGTTTATCAGTCCACTCAGGCTTTAGCAGAGCTCAGTAACACTGAGATTAATAACTGATCATCACATTGGTTTATCAGTCCACTCAGGCTTTAGTAGAGCTCAGTAACACTGGGATCAATAACTGATTGCAGTGATTTATCAGGCTTTAGCAGAGCTCAGTAACACTGAGCTTAATAACTGACCATCACATTGGTTTATCAGTCCACTCAGGCTTTAGCAGGAACATCAAAGTTTACAAAGAAGCTGTTTGTCAAGTTCCTTTTTAGATTGTCTAATAATTCCTGTTCCTCACACCACCCCCACCTATCACTGAGAAAAAAACTCGAACTCAGCTAACTCGAAGACCCTCCCTGATATCATGTTTCACTCAGAAATACGCCACAAAATGGAAGGAAATTTCATTTAATTTCTTATTCACATTGCATTTATATAATTATATGGCATTGTCTATTGAAAATACACTTTATTATAAGACCATGGGTCTGTCTCAGTTAACAGAATTTATAGCTTAGCCTGCTAACTTTAAGCTTAGATCGATCTAACTGTGGATTTTCTGTCTCACAAGGGTGTATAAACAGTTCTTGGACTAATCAAGGCTGAGTTATTTGGACCAATCAGGGATCTCTTCCGTTGACTTTTTTTTTTTTGTTTGTGTGAAGAATCACATGATGAAAATCTCTTTTTAACAGATGAAGCAAATCATGCTATATAGATATTAAGAAAAATCAAATATTACTTTTACAAATGCTTTACTTTGTCCATATTTACATAGATTTCTTTTTCCTTCTTTTGAAAAAGCAGGACCCCAGGTTTAATGTGCCTGCAAATCTATGACAGTCCAAACTGACTGTAAGGCTTAACTCTGTGTAAGACGTGATATTGGAGGCCTAACAGCAGGCTGGAACAGTAGGGTCACTGGACATCAGCTGCTGTTCACGACTGACACTCCACCGTCACATTCCAGCAAGAACACACAGCACTGGGGGGGTAGGGGGGCATCTTACTTCCACTAAAACCAAGATGAAGTTTCCCTCTCTGTTGGTCCAAGTTAGGCCCAGACTGAAAAATGTTATGAATGAAAAATATTGGATATCAATATCAGGCCACAATTTCCTCCTATCAATGCATTCCTACATGAAACCAATGAAATGTGAATCTCCTTATATAAGAAGTACCTGTTCATTATAAAATCAAACAAACTCATAAATACTGGCGCAAGACTTTTGCCAAACAGAACCCAATTTTACCAGTGAAATAACGCATCAGTCGGCTCTTGCTCTGAGTGCTGACTCTTAGATAGTGTCTATCCTGTGTGTGCAGGATGTAGATCAGCAGTTCCCGTTTACTGCAGCGTGTGTGGAATGCAGGAGCTTCCAGTGCACCCCTCTAGCTCTCACGGTCAGCGGCTGCTGCCGAGATTGCTGAGATGAGCATGCATTTTCACACTGCCAAGAGACCTTGACACAGCCAGGTCAACTGCTGGGGCCGCACTAAGTGCTCAGCTTACAGGCAACCAGCAGAAGGCCAACGGTGGGAGCTTCAGAGCCGAACACTTCACACAGTGGCCTGGAGAGAAGAATCCACTCAGCAATGCAGGACATGCAGCCACTGTTGCTCTCACTAAACATCGGTGATAAAAATTTGTTCACCATACTGTCATGTTCACCCTGCATTCACTTTAGTTTCATGTTCAGTGCATGTGAACCCTGCATTCACACAAGAATTACATGTTACTGAATTACTGGAATGAATACATTCTGATATGGCTATAAAAACACGCTGCTACTTAAATAGAAAAAAAATGAATTTGAGCGAATAACACGTAATTGTGATTTATGTTATTAATCATTTGATAGCCCTAAAAAAAAACAAACAACTGAGCATAGTAAAACCGTGCTTTTTAAGGTTCTGTTAAATATTTTATATTTTATTTAGGCCTATTTTTTCAATTCTGCAGTAGCTGTGTAACACTACGTGTTCATAAACGGTTTGCCGCTTTGGGTGCGTCTAAAACGAGCAGCTTGAGGTGCCCAGAGTGAAAATGTATGTGGAGTTGTTAACCTATTCTGAGTCCTAAAGCAGTCTTTTAAAAAAAAACCAATGTAAAATTGTTCCGCATCTTGAATGTACTAGTTTATTTTTTAACCCGTTATATCTCCCACTTAATCTCAGCGTGTGACTGTAGGCGTGACACGATGGCTCCACATTGCAACAATCTGGTTGGTTGTTGCTCAGTTCATTTGTATGAAGTTCATGCAAAGGAAAGCAGAGTGAGCAGAATGTGCATTAGTGCTTTGATGGGTAAGCTGTAAGTGTACATTGCCATCTTGTCACATTATAGCATGTTATGACACATTCTGTCTCATTATATAAGTTATCCCAAAAAGTCAATTAAAAAAGGCTGCACATTTTTCATGATGTCATTATGTACGTCACATACATGCTGCTTAAAATGTCAGTAACCACAACTTAAAACACTTAAGCACGTCATCATCACTTAAACATGAAATGAAAGCATGTCCAGTGAAGACCCGAGACCTGTCTTTAATTCAGCAGCTGCGCCCACCTTGTAGGCACTTTAAATAACCAATGGAACACATTTTTTTTCTCTTCACAATATACATTTCAAAACTGTACATGAATATGTACACAAATTCAAAAGACAGACAGTACCACTGAACATGGCTCAGCCTTTAAATTGTATTAATAAAAGTCTTTTTTGAACAGAGCATGTTCAAAGTAGCACTGGGGTAGAAGCGTTTGCTACAAAACAGGACGCTGAGAAAAGATCCGTCTCGATCAGGTCAGTTCAACAATTCAAATACAAATAGAACAAAAAAAAACCTGCAGCTAAATGCCAGATTTAAACCCAGCAATCATGAATTCTGGACACATCTGAGCTAAACAGCAGTCAGTGATAAGGACGCCCAGACTCTCATTGCATGAAGAAAGGCCACAACTAGGAACAGCCATGTTTCACTGATCTGAAAGCAGCTGATCTGTTTCTCACTCAACGCCTATCACACCTTAGAATCTCCATATCAAAGTAATTTCAAAAGGTGCTGCTGTTCACACACAATTAGCATGTTCACATAGAGCTACGGTGAGGTCTTTGACTTCTTAACTTCTTAGGTGACTGCTCCAAAAATCTGTGACAGGCATGGAAGCCACATTCTGAACAGACTGATCCAGTAGTTTATTCAACCAATTTTTCAAAATTTCTGCATAATTAAGTGGTTAAAATGTAAAGTTATTCAGTGTGGTCTGAAGTTCTGTGTTGTAAAGAAATGCATCAGAATTATTTACAGCGGTGGTGATGAAAACCAGACATCTGAAGAGCCTCCAAGAGCTCTCACAGTAATTTACTACATGAAATGGTTACGAATATGTTGCCTGATACCTAAGACACTGCTTTACTAGAGATTTGGGAAGGTTTTGGTTTAAATACTTTTTAAAACACATTGACAAGAGTCCTCAAAGAAAACTTGTTTTTGTCAACTGCATCACCATTTTACGAATATCAACAATACAATAAAAATAAGACGCCATGTAGGCTCACTAGTCACTTCGAACAGTAAACAAAATGGCTCTATATTCGACCCCTGGTTCCCGTCACCACCATTGTAAAAATATCTGACTTGGCAAGTCTCAAACTCGATGAATTATGCAGAAATATAGAAAAAAAAAAAACAAATGGTGAATTCCCCTTTAAAAAACCTTCACATAACGAAAAGGTTCTATGCTAGAACCCAGATCTTTGTAAAGCGGCTCTAGAGAGGAGCATGTTCTATAAGCTCCCTGTTGTTTAACCCAGGATCATCCCATCAATCTACTGGAGTAGAGGCCCCAGGAGACACCCAGATCTGCTCTAGGTCCAATCCTACTACTGTCCAGTCTCAGACTGACCTCTCCTCTTATCTGCAGAACGTAACATAAAGCACCCAGATAACTCAAGCCCGAAGTTGAACCTGTCCAATACAAGAAGAGGCAAGGGATCTTCCTGCAGGACAATCTTCAATATTGTCTTACATGATTCAGTTAAACAGAGAAATCCTGCTTTATGAAATACTCCCCAGAGCTGACTGTCTTACAATCAGCACAGTAATTCACAACAGCAGCTCAAGAAAATGGAGATGACCGATTGCATTATAGATGCATAGAAATTGTCTCAAACTACAGGAGGTATGAGTTTCTCCCACTTCTCACTGCAAATTATTCTGTGCACATTAGGACATCTGTCTCTGCTCCTGGCAAAGCTTTGGATCACAACAAACCCTGCAACCTTAAAAAAATAAAATAATAAAATCTCAAGACAATAAAGCCAATTTACACAACAGTAAAAAGAACACTGCATACAACATGCCATCGCGGAGCACACTTCCACCATCACTGAGACGGCTATTCTTTTCCACTGCATATATACAAATAAACAGGAAATGTGCTGCTCTCAGACGTGGAAATAAGTTACGGGAGTTCACATAAAGCAGGTAAACATCACAGTGCATTTTAGTCCGTTCAGGTTCCACTCAGGCTGCTGCCCTCTGGGTCCAGCCTGCAGGGGACAGTAGAGTCTAGCCGGACACAGTCTCGTGGGGTCGAGTAGCTCTCCTGTGCTTTAGCCTTGGCCTGGGGCCTCTGGTACTCTGAACAGGCCCCGTTCTGAACAACCAGAGGCTTCCTGATCTTAGGGCTGTCGTAAACCCCCTCTGAGTGGTTCGCTCTGTCCCGTTTGACCTGGGGCGTTTGATAACCACCAGAAAGCGCCCCTACCACCTTTCTGTAGTTACAGTTTTCTTTGGTCTTAAATGACGGGCTCTTACTCAGCACCACCCCTGGAACACTGTAGCTGGGATCCGGCAGAAATCCGTCTTTTCGGAAGGCGTGTCGCTCTATGATTGGTGTGGCGTACTCAGGCTCCTGATTGGTCAGCGGGAGGGCGTACTGATTGGCTGTGTGCAGGTAGTCATAGTGAGTGGCGGCCTCGTTGACTTCGTCCTTGGCGTCTGTGTCCATTGGTCTGAAGGTGGAGCCCTTCCGAGACACCGTACCCACTCCCAGCATGAGCGGCTGCTGGTAGTCTGAGGAAGCAGAGGTTACAATTACAATTAGAAACATTACAATTACAAATGTTTCTTTTATGCTAACAGCTGCTGAGCATAAGCACTATTCTATACCAGGGTGTAGAAAAGGGCAATATGAGGATATTTTATTGTTATCAGGATTTTATTATCGTGATACACAATTTGCTTTTCGTCAGTACAATTGAATTTAGTGCATGAAATGTGGAACAAAAGAGTTTTTGATGGCTATTTTTAAATGTGGCACTATTAGTGCATTGTGAATGTGTCAAAATATCATCATACATGTTGTGTATCGTGAAAATGTCTAAGTATTGTGATATATTTTAGTCATATCGCCCACAACTAACTAGATGTAATCATTTGATATCCAATATCCCATATTCCTTTAAAGATAACATGAATGTATAGCGTAATGGATAACACCACTGCCCCACATATGAGAGGCAGGGGTCTGATTCCAGGGAAGCCAGGCAAACACACTATATAAGGCACACCACTGCAAAATCAAATAGAGAACGTTTGTCTTTGGGTGAGAATATTACATTCACTTACCTGCCATGTCACTGGTGACCAGGTCTATTTTTGGGAGGGGGTCTTTCTCTGAGCTGTAGCTGAAGGTGAACTCGGTGGACTGGTGCCTGGCAGACGGATGTTTTACCTGCTTCCAGCAACCTGGAATGTGTGAAACACTACCCAGTCAGTCTTAATGAAAGGACCGGCCTCGCACTAGCACAACCACTAAGCTTTAAATCATATGCCTGCACGTGACTGCATTTCAGTGATGGGGAACGAGGGAGAGAGAGAGATGGTAATGGCCATGAAGCAACAGCATGAAAAGGAGAACAGACAAAGGACAGAAGAAGAAAAAGATGTGGTAAATGCATAAGCACTTTTTTAGTGCTGCTGCAATTCGCAGACATCATAGACTACATGCATGAAACTTGCATATTCATAGTTGAGTCTTTTTTCATTTATTTAATGCACCACCACACCATCTGAGCAATTCTTGTCAAATTAAAAATATGGCCAAAGCAGCATTAAGTTAGCCTCTATGCCACTGTTATTGTAGCCTACTATAGTCTACAATAAACAGTCATTTTTAAATTGAATAATTTTGATGTAATCACAATTTCAAAATCATTTAAGTCTACATAGATTTTTTGCAGGGAGAAGACAATCCCTGTAGGGAAGGCAACACGACAGCTTTATCTGTTTAGCACTTGTTCTTAATGAAGAAGATGCCACTTGTGTCAATGAACTGTTGTAACAGCTGAAATCTTTATTGAAAAAAATAATGTTATAAAAAGGAACTGATCATCAGTGCATCTGATAATGTAATGTTTTTTTAATAGAAAACAATGGGGTTTTATGAAATTGTATGGTTATTTTCCTCACCATACTTGTCAACTAGGGCTGAACAATTTGGGGAACACACCTCTACAGAGAAACGCACGTTTGCACATTTTAATGCACAATTACTTTATTTGATAAATCTAAAATATTGGGGGAAAAAAAAATTAAAATGTGACCTGTGCAAAATTTTATATTTAATATTTTATTTATTTCCAAAATGGTAAACTCAGAAACTGTGCATTAAAATGTGCAGACAAATGGCATAATTAAGTTTGTTCTCTGTAGAGGACGCATTAACTTCTTTTCACTTGGATCAATAAAACATGCAAATTGATCAGGTGTTTAAAAGAAGTGACTGCACACTGAGAATTTCATCTTGGCCAAAAAATGAGTACTCACTTTACTGAATATTAACAAACTGATTCTAAACAACAACACCACTCCAAGAATCGCCACCTTCAAATCGATGGCACATCAAATCAGTGGTATGAACTGCTTGGTGGTCTTGGGCACTGACCTGCTGTTTGTGGTGGATCTGCAGAGTCATAAGTGTTCTCCTTAGTCTTCTTCCTGTGAGACAGACAGAGAGAGAGAGAGAGAGAGAGAGAGAGAGAGACAGACAGACAGAGAGGGAGAGGGTTGTTAGCATGTGTATCAGTGTCAATCTCTCCCTCTGGGCTTCAGTCACTCAGGCCATTGTTCCTTCCTAAACTCCTTCACATCAGCCTTGCATCACTTTCTAAGTATTCTTTCCCCATATCCCTCCATCCCTAGAGACCTGTGCAGCTGGCAAATCTCCTGACAATGACCTTTGTTCCTCTCTCTTCCTTTCTCCTTCTCTCTCCCCTTTCCCTGCCCTTCATTCTCCACAACATTTTGCACAAATAGACATGAGTAGAAGAATCACAGGAGGCACTGGCCACCAGAGGCTTAAAAAGTCTCTGATGAGTCATCTACGTCACTGACCACAGCAAAGACACCCAGCCAGTTATCAAAGACAAGACCACAAAACAAGATCGGAAGACTGGTACAAAGACAGGTTTGTTAGTCTACAATAGGGGTGGGAATCCCTAGGCACCTCACAATTCAATTACGACTCAGAGGGCTGCGATGCGATTATAAAACAATCACTGATGCATCTTGATGCATCTTTTGCTGTGTCAGTAAAATATCTTTGAGACGAGATGCCATATCTTGCCTCCAAAGTGTCCAACATAGCGCGAAAGCCCTGGTTCTCAATGACTGAGAACGGACGAAAATCCTTGGCAATAAAAGTTGCGCTAGAGTTTGTAATTTGCCTCCATGTTGGGTGGAAGCTCTGACATCGCTTGCTCAATGGTCCTCTGGCAGCAAGTACAACCGGTAGGAAAACAGGTCGAAACATGTAATATGGTTTCTCATGTTTGGTGTTTCCAAAATATTTTAGTTTAGTGTGACACAACTTGCATATAGTATGGCTCTTGTCCAGGTCCCTTTTCCCCTGGCGTGCAGACTGCAGGTCACCTAGCAACACAGTCTCGCCTGGCTAGTAGCTAACGAAAAGGCAAAGAGAGAGATTTAAGATGAACATTTGGAGACGAATGGACTTATTCGCATTTATAAGCAGCGCAGTTGGTTTCCTGGTCTGTTAAATCTGCAACGAGAGACTGTCAAACACTAAAAAGTTGCGAAGATGAAGTCAGTTTCTCTTTCGAATTTTCCCGGTCCACCTTAAAGGGTGCCGCCTTTACATTCTGGCGCCTCAGGCAGAACTTAAGGTGGAACGGGAAAATTCAAACAAGAATCTGGCGAATAATATGCGACTTCAGCCTCATAAAACAGTCGAACATTGAGAGACATTTAACAATAAGCTGTTCTACTTTTGAAGAAAAGTTTTCTGGCAGAGATGGGAGGAAAGCAGCTATAGCTAAAGCTTAAAGCAGTCCACGTTTTTGTTTATATTGTTTAGTCTATACTAGGACATTATCACATACTGAGACATACTGGACATTAAGTGCTGTGGCTCTCAAGGTGGTTTGATTTTTGTCAAATTTTGTCAGATTTTTGTCAGGACAAAATGGCTCTTCTTAACATTTGGGTTGTGACTCCTGACCTAACCTAGCTTTTAACGTAGAGGGTGCCGGTCGGATTTCTTGCTCATCCAGTTGTGTTTATGTTATGTGCCACCACAGACTGTCCGGGTGCTGCACTTCCGCACTTCCAAGTTCTGCCTTTTGCGTTGTGTCAACATTACGTTAAAAATAAAATATTTGGAAAATCGATTTTTGAATCGATTCAGAATCATCCACGTCCGCATTGTGATGCATCTAAGAATCGATTTTTCCCCCCACCCCTAGTCTACAATGTCAAGACATGTGGTCATACGTAGTATTTACATGACATTATACTGAGTAATATGTCCCCATTTCTGTTCTCTACAGAGATGCCATATCAGTAATCGGCTTTGGATCGGATTTGAAAGGGGAAAAAAAGAATGAATCTGATGCAATCCTGTAATAGATCTATCCAGGCATATCACTCAATACTGTGTGATGTTAGCTTATGTCTTTCTGTGAGGTAGTAGAATGATTGAGTAGCTTAAGCATGATAGACTACTGTTAGATAACCTAAAGCCCATGTGCCAAACACAAGGCCTGTGTGCCAGGTCAGGCCCGTGGCATGTTCCTGTCTGGCCTGGAAAATTATTTTTATTTTCTATCAATATTAGCTCATTTCACAGTGTGCTGCACTACAATCCCCAACATGCACTACCATGTGAAGAGCACTTCAACCTCCCTCCCCACAAGAGCAATTAACTTATTTTCACTCAAATCAACAAAACATGTAATTTCCTGTATAAATTTTTCTATATAACTAACAAACAGCTTTGGCCCTTTCAGTTCTTTAATATAAAATGTGTAGTTTTTGTGAAGCAAGCATGTTATAAAAACAGGAACATTTAGCTCTTCCTGAAAAAGTATGTTACCTGCTGAGCTGTACAAAACAAGCAATTTGAGCAACATAAAGGGACGAGGGTTGCAAGGCAGTGAAGATAAGTCCTCAGTGCTCTTTAGAAGTTGATCATATCTGATCTCCTGTTTCTCTTTGCAGACATAAAGCAGCTGTGTGGTCAAACTTATTTTTCAGCAAACTGCAGCATTACTGCACTTACTTGTGAAGCACCTTACAGAGGCAGATCCCCAGCAGCAGCAGAACCACACACAAGACAGTGGGCACCACAATAATGGTCAGCTTAACTGTGCAGAAAGAGGTTGGAAACAGGGCATCAATGACCAAACATTTAACACATCTGAGCATGTAGGACTGAGATTTAAAACCAGGAGCACTGTTTTAGTGATTTTATCAAGCTTAAGGGGTGTAATGTGAAGCCAGTGTTCAATAGATCTCATTCCACTCTCCCAACATATGTATATGTAGCACATTAAAAAGGTCTATATTCTGCATCATCCTTCTATTTTTAATTGGTGTGTTTTTTTCTATGGTATAGGCCCTTCAATACAGAATTAAACTTATAAATTCAGACACATTATGTGTAAACTGAAAATTTTACAATGGCTTTGAACATTTAACTACTTTAAAAATAACCAAAATGTTTAGTGCATAATGTGTACCTAAATCAGCCTGGGAAGGCACAGGCTCAGTGATGTCTGCTTCCTCCACTGGAGGCTTGGGTCTGGTGGGCAGAGCCTCTTGTGTGACCTGAGATGATGTACTCACTACCAAGAAGAGAGGGAGTAAAATTATCATGTTATCAGTGATCATTTTGCTATTGCTCTACTTTATGAACAACAGTTAATTGAACATTAAAATGCTACAAGATTTCCCATTATCTGACCCATAGAGAACTCATAACACACCTGGAGTGGCTCTGACATAAGGGCAACCCAGCAGCTCAGCTGTCAGGCCGATCCCCTGGTGCCACTGTAGTGGGACAACACGAAGGTAACGTGCTGTAATGGCTGGACGGAAGGTGTTGCGAGACTGGCAGAGGTTGTCCACGTTCCCTTCAAATATCTGACACAAAAAAAGAAACAATTACCACAAACTTTGCTGAATAAGTAACTGCAAGCATTTTCAAATTATTCACTGATTCCATTCATTTCAATCAATTCAAATGATTCAGCTCTCACCATATCTTCAAGGCTGTTATACAGGGTGTAAGTTCGCCAACGACTCTTCTCCTTGTACATAATTTTGAAGCTTCTCACAAAGTAGTCAGAAGTAGCTGAACCCTTGGTTAAAATTCCTGTAAAAAACAAATTTATCAGAGCTAGGAAAATACAACTTATTAACCTCATGATCACTATTCCACCTTCATGTATTGTTATACATTTTAGAGCAGTCTTAACACCTTTGTGTATTTTTGTGTACATGCAGTACACAAATACTCCAATACTCCAGTAGCCGCAAGCTCACTTTACAGATTTCATCCCTCAATGGCCTTTTAAAGAGCTCCTTTTTCTGCCCTGTTAGAGGACATTAATGTCAGTGCATGGTGATGGCCAGTTTTAGAATGTGGCAGAATTTGAGACAGAGACTTTACCCCTGAGTTCAGGGCTCACTGTAAGACTACAGGTAATGCATGCAGTGGGCCTTACTAATATATGGTTTAAATGATATTAAGATTCCACAGATTTATCCATACTGGCAAAATTCCTGCCAATATTTAGAAGGAGCTTCTTTACACACTATAATGAACAGACACCTCTAACATTAAGAGCATCATTAATTTCTGATTTTGCTAGGCTGGCAAACACCAATTATTTACCTACATTATAACAATACAAATTTGATGACAAAACACCAGAGTTAAAACAAACCACATGTTAAATGTGTCCAAACCTGAAGACAATGAAAGCTAATACTTAGAAACCAAAGAACAGCTAAGAATCCTGGTTAACTCTTTCTCCAGTGCTACAATATTTATATCATTTAAGATTTGAGTTTCTGCTGTTTGCATTTAAGAAATTTGACACCTGTGAACTAATAATCATATAAAGTAGGGATGCAACAAAACAATGCATCTCATACCAAATTATATCACAGTATATTGTACCGTATCCAGTCTCTTGACTAACGTTAGGTCGTAGACAGTGTGTTAGCTTGGGGCTAACATATTAGCTTGTGGCTAGAGCATTACATTGGGACCCTAAAGCATTTTTTTCTTTTAAATTTTGTACTTTTATGATGGAATAGAAACATTAACATAAGCAACATTTTTTGCTGAATCAAAAACTATTGAATCGAATAGTGAAGTTTGTAAATCGTTATACTCCTTAATAATGGGTAGTTCACAGCTGACCGCTCAATCATTTTGGTTAGTAAAGTACTGTTTTAATAAAAGTATTGAAGTCAGCTTAATTTTTGACCATACAAAACCATTTTCAGAGTTTAGATTTTTTTTTAGCTCTTTAAAATCTCTACTGATTTTCATATCTGTCTATGACAGGGTTTCTGTGTAGTCTCTTCTGGAAAACGACCAGAAAAACTCCTACGGTGTGCTGATCCAAAGATCTGTCATTACCTTGTGGAGTGGAGTGGAGACCTCGTGAAAACATTAGGACCATGTTCCTTTCTTTAAGAGTTATTCAGAGCGTAGCTACATCACTCAGATTGTGGTCTGCTGACTCAAGAGTGATCACCCACCATGCGGGCTAATTACTAATTAGGTGATTAAAGATGAAGCTCAAAGAGAAATGATTTTGACTGTGTTTTTGAACAAGAAATCAAAGAGCTTTCTAAGAGGAAAAGGGCAGAGAACCCTGGTTGTTGTTTGGGCAGAGCATACAGAATAATGATAATCTTTTTTTATATAGAACTTTTCATGCTGGTGGCATGACAGGTGATAAACAGTAATACAAGAAATGATTAATACAGAATCATATAGGAAAGTGACAGATCAAATTGAAAGATAAATACCATAAAACTGTTTATTTAAGGTGCAGTACTTCAAAAGCAGGGAAAAGCTCAAAGTGAATCACCTTTGGCTTCACACTGCAGGTAAAAATTGGATTTACTGGCCGAATTTGTTTATTTTGTTTGGTTGTCATGTTATCTTTTTGTGTGACCTATAACTGACATTATTCTGAACAGACCATGCTCCTGACCTGTATGCGCAAAAGAACACATTCACCTGGAATGTTCATCCAACAAACAGTCCTCTACCTTAATGCGGCATCAAAAGGAGCTGTGTGAGCTGCAACTTTAAACTTAAAGGACAAACAGCAGACACTAAAACAACCACACTCACAGAAAGAGAAAAAAGGTGTGCCTGTTATAATTGTGGAAGCTGATCAAATGGAGAAAAGAAGGCAGGTTTCTTTTGTTTATCTGCTGTGAACAAGAACTCTAGCAAATGGATGCAAATTCAGTGCCAAAACAACAATATATACTGTGTATATACAATATATACAATAAAGAGACTCCTTTGCCTTGCTCTTTTTTCCTGGTCATATCTGAAGCCAAAAATATGTGAACATACCATTTTTCTCTCAACTGACACTGCTGATAAAGAGTCAACCAAAGCGGCACAGTATGAAGAGCAGAGGCTGATGACCTCCTCAATAAAACCAGTATTCTTCAGCTGCACCATATTATACCACCACTGCTAAGATAACACAGCTTCCTCTTTCTGAGAAGCCAACTCCAGTCTGAACCATCATATAAAAAAGCAACACTTCCGTACAAGAGACAAAGTGTTCATTCTCTGACTCTGGGTGCACTGTGCCTCTTAAAGCAGCATGAAATTGGACTGGCCGTGCTGACTACACTCACCATGCTCAAAATAAACGCTGCGTCCGGCCTGCTCCTATATTTAAATGTGCCTTTGTGAAAAGGCCTGTATGTTTGCAAGGGAATGAGACAGAAGGCCTTTCAATTCTTTTTACGCAATACCAGGAACTGGTAAAAAGATGCAGCTATCAGCTGGGCGTAGGGCGGTGGTGGGTGGAGGCTGAGGGCTTCTTATGTGCTTTGGGGCCATAACACTGGATACTCCATCGGCAGTCACAAGAAAGCCCCTTTGTAAGGATAATCACCCCTGGTAACAGCCTCTGGATGCAGGCTTACTCTGATGCTTTCCCTTTTCTATCTACTAGATGTGTGTACATACTGTGCAGACAACAAAGTCAAGGATATTAATATGGAGTTTGCCCCCCTTTGCCATGGTAACAGTCTCTTATCTTCTGGGAGGGCTTTAGACGTCAAAACATTGCTGTGAGGATATGACTGCAGGCACAAGAGCATTAATGAGATCAGGTACCAATGTTGGATGATTAGTTTCAGATCACTAATGCCACTACAACTCATCCCAAAGGTACTAGATGGAGCTCCATCACTCCAGAGAACAAAGTTCCACTGCTCCACAGGCCAATGCTCGAGTCAACGTTTAGCACTGGGCATGGTAACTTTAGGCTTCAGAGCATCACATTCTATTGGCCAACGATTTTCGATGGAGATTATACAAGTTATGTGGGCACTAGTGAATGCTTGTGTCAGCAATGCACCTTACAGTAGCTGAATTCACTAATCAGGTGGGGTGTCTAAATATTTGGGGACATAATGTATATGCTCGGATTTAATCCTATTAAGCTTCACTTGCACATTACTCCAGAAGACTAAAAACTGACCAAGAAACTACCAGGCTATCAAAGCAGAAATCTAAGGAGAGCATTTCCACTGAACCACGAATCCTTTAAATGCTGGTTAAGTTTTTACACAATAACGTTTGAATGTTTTTTCTGTGCTGGGTAGCAGAACAAAATTTAATTTGGCTAAAGTGGTGTATTGTACCAGTACACAGCAACAGCAACATAGCAACTACTGATGAAACCTAACACAGCCAGGTGGCTCACAGAGGGGTTCACTATGTATTGATGCCTGTATTATTCTTTCATTAGTATTCATCAATTTGATATTGCAAACAGCAGCCAATACCAACTCGATAAACTGGTGGCCTATCTGTTTTCATGGAAACTGTGACATGTATAGTTACAATCGGTGTGCAGTTCCATTCTTTTTTAAACTCACTGAGAGACAGCATAATGGATAACACCACTGTCCTACATAGAAAGAAATAAACGTTTGATTCATTGTCACAGCAAGATTGCCACTGCAATGCTAACAAGGTCTATTAATAATATACATTTTTAGAAGTGGACTTTACATATAAGAACTATCAGCGCTATATTACAATTAATACCACCTTCATTAGAGAAATAAAAATGCGTTTTCCATTATATCAGCTGTGTAATGCAATTCTTTTTTGCTCTTAATTTGTTTTAAAAGGTAAAAAAGAAAAATAATTAGCTAATGGTAATTGGTATTGGCATTGGCCGTAACAGGGTGTCAACTGTCAGTTTTTGTTATGGGCTCAGAAATTCCACAGAAGCCCAAGAACTGTGACAAGTATGTCTCAATCTGCTTAAAAGGGGAAAGTAATTCCACGTTTCCGTAAAACAGCAAAACAGGAGATGCCTGTATATACTTATATTAACTCTAACCTGTGATCCTCTTCTTTTCTCCAAGGTCCAGCTGTAGCCACTGTTTGCTGTTCGGGTCAGCGCTCCACATGCCTGTAGGGGAGACGGTGTTGGTGTCTTTGGAGGACCGCTTAACCCGAGGGCCCTCAAAACCACTCTTCTCCCATGAGGAGCTAGCAGAGAGTGGCTGAAGAATAGTCTGTCTGTTACAGTCTGGGATGGGAGAAAGGAAAAAGGAGGAGAAAAGAATGACTGGGAGATTATTTTTCCCTTTAAAAAGGCTTAAGACTCAGTCAGTAGTTTCAGCTTCAAATAGTATGTGCTCTCTTCTATTGTGGCTTATGTAAAAACGGTCGTATTGGCATCAGTTTTCATTCTGCCGAGTGAACTTCAAGAAAGCAGTGAGCTTCAAGAAACATATAAAAAAAACATCAAAAGAACTTACTGGTTTTCTGCTTGTGCCTAGAGTTTGTTTGACATAAATAAAATGCATGTGGAGCAATAACTAATTTATAGAGCACACTGACTCAACAGGAAGAGCAGGACTATTAAAAAAAAACCACCATCTGTGTACTTAAACAGAATCACATGTGCTACGAACAACAAGAAAAAACAAGGAAAAAAGCCCAGAAATCTGATCTCCATTTTTTTTTTCAACGCCTACTTCCTCAGAGCTGGTAAGAGCGGTACATAGACCACATCTGACTAACACGCCACTGTGCATCCGACTTAAGCATGTAGGACTTTATGACTCCACAACGCATCAGCATTTGGTTGCATGGGAAAGAGTATTTCAGTGAGAGGCAGGAAAGAGATCCTGATTGAAGTGGCTTGAGATAGATTGACAGTAATGAGGTTTTGGTTGGGGGTTTGATTTCATGGCTGTATTTGTCTCAGTCACGAGTGCACTGCAACAGTCAAAGCTAATTCCACAGTGAAGCTCATTGATTATTAGCCACTTATCTGCTTCACCCAGAGGTGTGCTGGTCATTCAGCCATTCTGCTTCAACACAACAGTATTGATTGTTGTAATTTTAGGAAAACACTGCTTAGCACTAACTGGTATAAAGGAATAGTGTAGTCAAAATACCTAATGTTGCTAATAATAAAAGAAAACAAATTAGCGACCAAAAAACACTATGCAAACAATATCATGCTTATTTGTAGCGACCAGCTTCCATTCACTGTTTTAAGTCATGCTATTGTTATTCCCATCTTTTTAAATTAATAAATCTGACAAAGTACGTAAACATGGTTAAAAACATACCAGTAAGTACATATACAGAAACTAAGCTGCAAAAAAGCCTATTTTGAATAAATGTAAATTGTAATGTCCAACAAAAACTCATCTACACATGTCTGCCTATTCTGCAGACAGCAGCTTGGCTTCATTCACAGTGAAGTTATAAGGAGTGTTTCAGCCTGGACTGCTTTTTGAAGGAGGCATCATACAGGGCAGCAAATCAGAACAGAGCTCATTTACATATATCATTCTTAAAGTCACAGTATTGAAACAGTCTGCTAATTCTATAGGATACAAAAAGGTTGTAAAAGGGTCATGTAAAAAAGTAATTATGATTGTTTTGGTACATAAAACCACACAGAAGTTATAAGTGGAGTCAAGGAAAAGAAAATAAATACAAAAAATGAAAGATATGGGCCCTTTAAGAAAGTACACTAATGAGCAGGGCAGAAGGACAGGTGTGTGAAGTAACCGTTAGAGCCGCACGTTGGCAGCAGGACACTATTTAGACTGCCGTTGTGGTGCTTGGCACACTGGGTAATCTGTGAGTCACCTGGGGCCTGCCAGTACAGGTAGAACTGCAGTGGAGAAAAGGCCTCCTGTGCCAGACACCGTCAGGTGAAAATAAATCAAGTCAGGCGATAAGAGGTTCCCACGCTTCCCAACCCAACCTGCTAAACCAGAAGGGCTTTCACTCTGCCCAACGGATACACAGCCAGTCTGTTCACCACCCAACGCCTGAACTACTTCCCTAATGTATGTCAACATGCAAATAACATATAGCACACGAAGCAGGGTGGGCAAACTACACATCATGCTCCTTGTCTATAAATAAATATACAAACAATATGCCACACACACACACACACACACACACACACACACACACACACATACATGGACATTTATAAATAGTGTGAAAAAAAACAAAGTATAGAAGACATAAGTCTTACCATTTGTGACAAATGCGAACAATGAGTCAGATGAGTTGCTGAAAGACAGAGAAAGAGAAAAAGAGATATATATCAGACAGAGCTGAGCTCAATGGTTACAATTACAGTGATAAATGAAGGGGCTGTCATGTGTGGGGAACACCCACTGGGGCCAAAGAGGAGCAGATCCTCTATTGTTCCCCCCACACTCCTTTCCAAATCACAGCTAAACTGAGCGTGGGCCTTTGTTCCCAAAGCTTTCTTACCTCCCCCAAAAGCCCCCCATTTCCCTCAACTCCGTGGAGGTCTGTGCTCTTTGAGAGAGCTGTGTGGGGCTAATTAGAAGGGGACATGGCAGGGAAATTGCATCTCTCTCAGCCATTACTTAAGAACATGTCATTTTCACAGGATTCCTGGCTAGAATTACAGTCTGCTGTGATGTGATTAACATGTATAAAGAAGTTCTATTCACCATAAAAAAGCGAAAGATTGAATCTGTTTTACTTTCTCTTCACTTTCAATAATTCCAGTTTGTTTAAATATTTAAATAACTAACGCTATTGACACGTTGAATGAGTCTGTTTACATTATTTAGTTATGTATAATTTAATGTTTAAAGGGTGTATTGATAAAATGAGGATGAATTAGAAAAAACAGTGATGGTAATTAAGCTGTAACACATCTTTGTGTGCCCACTATACTAAACGCTGGATGTTCAGAGGACACATTTTTAATTTTTGTCCTAGTATTTTTTTGGTATCGAGCAAAGTCAGGATTTTAGTCTTGTAACAATAAAAAAAATGAAGCTGATATCAACCCAACAGTTCAGCCATGTGAACTAAGGAAAGTGATTACTGAAACATATTGATCTAACGTTCAAATGAAAATAAAGCTGTCCCTGGGGAACATTACATCATTAATGTAATCCTCTCAGAGCAGAAATGCTTTCCAAAAGATGTCTGCAGCACTCAATAAGAGCAGGGCAGGCTAGCTGTCAGGTAAACTAGGCTGATGTTTCACAGGTCATGTTACTGCTGTTTGAACACAACTAAAATGTTACTGTGCATAACTCAGCTTTCATTTTCTTTTGACCATTGATCACTATTCAAGGGAAAATCCATCTTTTTTAAAAAATTCTGTACAATTAAATTGCTGAAATGTAAAAGTCAATCAGAGTGCTTTGAAATGAAATGTGCCATTCTGAACACAAAATAGTCTCTAAAGTGGAAATTTATTAATGGTTGGTGTTTCATGCACCCTGAGGGCAAATCAATGAAATGTAATTTGTGGTGGCTGAGACAGATTTCAAATGTCACAGCTAACACGATTACTACAGACAGGCTTAAGGATGTCTCTTCATGTCAGCACCAAATGCAGCCTTTTCATTTTATCACCTTGGAATTGTGCTAAAAAGTGATTTCACAGTGTGACCAGCCAACACTTGTCCTGTCCTGTTTGTGTCCTGTTTAGCTTGACAGCTTCAGACAGAGTATGACTGATCATACTGCTGCTAGCCAAAGCATCATTGCTCTATGGCCCATGAGTCAAACACAATCCCGCGGGCCAAGTCAGGCCCGTGGCACAATCCTAATTCAGTCTGCAAAATTATTTTCATTTTTTATTAATACTAGCCCGATTCACCATGAGCTGCACTACAATTCCCAGCATGCACTGCAACATAATGTATGCTCTGATCTCCTTCTATGGGCCAGCAGTTACATAAAAATAAAAGATGACTGGTGTTTTAGTTAAAAACTACCTCCTGGGGACATTAAATAAGTTTAACAGTTGCCTGTAGATAATGCAGCCTATTGTTTTATATAAAATAATTTATTTTAATATTTAATTTAATATATTTAATAATTTAATATTTAAAATTAGCTTTGAATAGTTCAACGATTCAGTGCCTATTTTGCTGTTGCAGGTTTTGAATAAACAATGGCCAGTTTGGGTCCTTGCAAAATGTTAAGTAAAAAATAAAAAATACAGCTGGCCCACAGATTTGTTGAGATTTTTTAATATGGCCATTCAGCGGTTGAGTTTGACACCCCTGCTCTATGGATTCCGACAAATAAGAGAAATTCTCTGATGTCTCTGAGATTCAGGCCTGATCCACATAAAGCACTTCTAACATCAGGAAGTGCTTGGCTCAAACAGGGAGGTAAAACTACAGGAGTTTTCTCCAACTTGAAGCAAGAACTGATGTCTTTGAGATAAACCAAGATCAAGAGCAGGCACACATGAACCATTAAGAACAGAAAAGAACGAAACATGTTGAGACTTGCCCAGGACGAAGGCTTATGAAACTGGCTCTGGGCCGATGTCGTTAAAAAAAAAAAATCACTTTAGCCCGAACACTTTTAGTTCAGTCTTCATGTTTTTTTCATCTTTGGGCTTGTCTTGTAGTTTAGGTGAACTATAGCCACACTTCACCCATACTTACATGTGATAGGCATTAAATTGTCTATATTCAAATACAATCATATTGACACACAGTGATATTGCTTTTCAGATTACTGATATATTTGATAGACATAGTTGCATTATAACATATAACGACCATAATGTCACTGTTTCCAAACTATTTTACTTTTTAAAATCTATTTAGTCAACGTTAATTATGGTTTCCAGGACCTGACATGTAAAGTTAGCATTAACTTCAAAATGAGTTTATAATTAGCACCTATTATTTTGTGTAATATATTTAATAATCAGCATCAGAACATTTATGATCTTATACTAATACACTCTCACTGTCAAAACCTTCTGTCTCCAAATTTTCATTTTTCCACATGATTTAAAAACACCAGTTGCCTTTTATATTCTATTAAAATTTCAAGATGAATGGTTCAACAGAAACAGTCAAAAATGACTTAGAATAAAATCTTACTCCATTAAATTTTCATTAAAAGTTAAGGATGTTCTTTCTTTCTCCTGTAAAGTTACCTTTTTGGTGATGTAAGATTTTGCTTCAACAATGACAACACATTAGTATTATAAAATGTATAAGCATTATAATATTTAAATATATTAAGTTATATTAAAAATGTTTAATATAACCTTAAATATCACCTGATGATGTCATACAATGATATATTTGGAAAATACTGTGATACTGAATTTGATCAATACCACCCAACACTAATACTTAGAGTAGTGGATCTTATTTATGGACATTAAGCTACTTGTAGCGTGGGATGTGTAATGCAGAATGGGAACCTCATGGAGGGGAACTTCATCAGTTCTGCTAGACACTAATGATGCACTGTAAGGCTACATTCCAGAATTTCTGTGTTGATTCAGAGTAAGAGATGGGATCTGTAGAGAATAACTCACCATTTTGACATTTTGGACATAATGCCATTAGCCTGCACAGCCTCACAGCGCCCCAGTCCCCTGTGCTCCTCGACTATGACTGGCCCTCCAAATCGGTCCAGGATGACTCCAGCATGAACTGCAGATTTACATAAAAGTGACGTCTGAAACAAAGAGCAAGGAAAAAGATCAAACATGAGAACACAGAGAGCTGTGTAACTTTCCAATTTCTGTGCTAAAACATCACATATACTGATGTATATTTTGTATATGAGAAAATATATATATGTATAATACCGAGCAAAGTCAAAGACCACACCTCCTTTGTTTAATTTCCAGTCAAAATGCCCAAAAAATACAGCTAAGCTTAACAAGGCAAAACAGAAAACAATAAGAAACTGGGAGAATTTATATGACTCTATTCAAGAACTTTAGTTTTGAATTAAATTATGTGATGCTGTTTAGTTGTGTAGTTGTTCATATATTGTCTTTGCTTTATTTTTGATTTGTGTGCATTCCTAAACGTATGCCACCGTCCTGCCTTCCCCTCTCCCTTACCTCTCCCCACCCTTGTTGTAAACATGATGAAAAATGCAATAAAAAGTTGATCACAAAAAAAAACAAAAACAAAAAAAAACAACAACAAAAAAAAAGGCCAATAAATACAAGTTGTTCATTTTCTAGGAAATGTTTCTGAGGAGACTGGGGAAACATAATCCACTTGCATTAATAACAGGAAAGACAAAGGAAAAACAAGAGTTTCCAAAACTGAAGTTTAAAAAAAAACAATAAGAAGATAAAAGAAGAAGAAGAAAATGGGACTCCTAACAGCCATACAATATCTGGCAGACCACCAAAACTGTCACAATCAAACAAACATTACTTAAAGCATAGAGCTGAGAAACAGGACAAAAATCAAGCTCCACTCTTGCTTCACATATGAAAAATCTACAGGTATTTCTTTCCATCCTTCCACTGAAAGCTGTCTATAATCAGTGTTTGAGAAAAGGATATAAATAGTATTTGCACTAGAACACCAAAACTAGACATTGGACAAGTGGAGAAAGGTTTTATAGGCTGATGAGTGTAAATTTGTAATTGGGATTACTGCATCATAAGAAGCAGAAATGCAACCAACTTCTAAGACAGAACTGTGGAGGTGTGGAAAAGTATCGCTGCAGATTTCTTTGAAATAGTGAAAGCAAGTCTTCTGAAAAGAATGGAAGCTGTAATAAAGGAAAGAATGGTCACAAATGTTGATTTTTAATATTAATCTTTTCACTTCTCAGAAATGTTGCTATTATATTCAGTTGTTGAGGCGTCTGTGTAATTGTCTGTTAAAATATGTTTTCTGCTTTTATTTCCTGATGCTGAAAACTTAAAATTAAACAGCTGTTTTGACTGGAACTTAATAAACGATAGGTGGTCTCTGGCTTGCATGGTGGTGTATATTTTTCTTACATATGGGAGCAACAGACAGAATAAAGAATGGGTTTTCAAAGCTGAACAATGCAGACTTCCACATGGGCCCTCATTTTTCTAAGGCCTATGTACCTTAGAAAACACCTCGAGAGCCATTTACACAAAACGATGTTATGAGGCCAATCTTAGCTACAGTAATTCGTCCTTGTCAGTCATGCCAACATGGGTATTTCAATTCAATTTACAGAGGCATTTTACGAATGCCAAGACAGGCCATGGCTGAACACAAACCATTCATCTTCCCTGAGTGCGCCGCATAGCTACAGCTGAAATGTGAATGAAAGGCACATTGTAATTTAATTGAGAAGGGACAATTATAGTAATTACAGTATCCCGAAGGAATGCAAAACACTTCTTGTCACTAGTGGAAAGCTACATTTAGTCCTATAAAGTGCCTCTGGAATAATTACCTCTCATAATATGCTTTTTTCAGTAGGCTAGACCAGGTCAGGAAGGCACAAAGGCAAGGTTTCAAACAGAGTGATTTCTACCAAACAGTAGGATAGAAGACTTTATAGGCATTTATCCAAGCTTGTTTGTGAAATCCTTGCAGTTTTACAGTTTTGACCCTTTGATTTTTGTAGTCTATGGCTATCTTGACACTTCAAACCCAAGCGTTCAATTCTGATTTCCAAAATTTGTTCTTGTGTTTGTTTGCATATCTTTTTTAATGTGGCCGATATTCAATACTGAACATATTATGGTCCTGAACTGACATGCATACTCAAAAATGCAATGCTCCACCTGATACTGCTGATTCAGAAATAATTAAACTAAATGGAGTTAGCACTTGCGATTGCTAACCTAAAAGTTAATATTGACGTTATTGTAGAGTGAAAACAACCACATCCACAAAGCTCCAGGAGCTTATACGAGGTTGGCAAACGGTTATGCAAAAATGAATTAGGCAACTGCGTTGAATGAATTACAGTGTTTCATACATAATCTCACACAAATGTCTTAAGGGAACCTCAGAGAAAAAAAAATAAAAGACAAGAAAATGTAGGATATATGCTCTTTAAGATTAAATTCCCACCAGTGTGGAATTACAAATGAACCTCGAACTTGACTGATTTAAAGCTCAAGAGCTAATCTCTATTCAAGTCCCATTTCCACAAATAAGGTAGACATCAAAACGCCACATATCAAAGTGACCCAAATTGTATTGTAAAAGTATTTTTGCATTAAATAAAATATCTGTGCCACAAACGAAGGAGACTGCACAAAGGTGCTTTTGAGTAATAGATAAGCATGGACTGTTTCTACGACGGTCTATAGGACCAGTCCCACAGTCGTTAGCATGATGTAGTAAGAGAGGACACATTGTGTGTTATCAGTAGGAACAGCTGCTCTGCATTCAGACTGAGCTGCCTCATTAACCTGATCATTTATTCACCAGCCAGGGCCATAAATACACTCTGCTGTGCACTCTGGCCTGAGCCAGCAGCTTTTCCTCTCTCTCTACTGCTCCTGTCTCTCACTGCTTCACGCTGTGGTAGTCAAGCATGCGGTCATCCACCAGAGTTATGGCTCTGAAAGGAACCGTGCCTCTGGATTCGATTACAGTGTTCAGTGCTTCTGGTCAAAGCCTGATTTAAAACTGATTCAACACAGAATTTTAACCACTTTTTTAAAGCTACTGTAAATCTTTCAATCAGTTCCACTGTAAGGTGGGAAGGGGTGGGACCTTGAAAACATTTTGATTTGATTGTGATTTTTCAGGAAACGTTATTGTGCCTCGTGAAACGTCAAATTTAACCACAATTAAATACATAATTCAATCTTATGATTTGCTAGTCTTGCAGGGCCACACTGGCTTATCTAGAGATAACTTGCCCCTAAATCTGACTCATCCACGCTCTTAACTTTCAAAGTAAAAACGATAACAAGTGAAATAAGCTAGCTAGAGAAACACTGTTGTTAGCTCACTTAAATTCATCAAAATGAATGTTTCAGAATGTCCTTAACTCAGGAGAAAAGAGATGGCTTGTTTGGCAACAGGATACAGTAAAGGTTTAGTCTACCAAGCCTGGTCTAGCTGTGAATGAGGTTCATATAGCTTCGCAGTGATACATGTATTTATGTTAGATGTTATGATTGTTGCTTTCACGAGCTTGCTGTCCATCAGACAATACTGATGAGCGCGCACCATCACCCCATACCTTAAGCTCCACCTTCAAATAAATGTTGGATTGGTTTTCTCAGTTAGTTTCCACCTGAATAAGTCTGCATTCTCACCCACATTTCACTCAGTTTTTCATGGTTGTCCTCAGATGTTCTCAGGACAAGAGCACATCTACGAGAATAATGATATGCACACAACTACCCTCAATTGATGTTTGTCCATATCATGCAGGCCTAGTTCATACTTTATTGAATATTATTCATCCCATTACAAAATCATTCAAAAATCAACACAGCTGAATTGCCACCATCACTGAGGCATTGTTTTACAACCATGCAGGCAAGAGCACAAAATAAAGGCTGGTCTTGGACATATACTGAGTAACTGATCATTGACACAGCAGGGTGTGTAAGGCTTCACTCTAGGTGACCATAAGGCAAGAGCCTAAGGCCAAGAGACTCTCACAGTATGAGTACATGACCTTTACAACACAATAATTGCCAGCACATAAATAACCAGGTGACATCACTTATTCATTTCTATTGTCTATGGAAGCACACCCTACCTATTCACAGTAGCTTCCTATTTGGAAGACCTTTCAGAATGCACACAGCATTCTCAGCACTGCATTTCAGGCTTTTAACCTTGTTAAAATTTACATGTGCAGCAACACGCCACCTCCCGGTGTTTACAACTCTCTCACACAGAGCAGCCTGTAGCTAACAGGACTTTGATCAGTTGTGTTTACACAAAGAGGAGCTGTACTGTTGTTGTGTAAATGAGTTTCATTTGGACAATGAATAAAGGTATTAGGAAAAACAGAGGTAGGGTACATGGTAACCGCTGTGTGCGTGCTCAGTGGATACAGCGGACACATCCAATCCTCTTTAGGAGCATCGATCATAGACCCCTGAGGTAGTGCGCCATTTTGTAGTCAGCCACAAAAGACCCAAATTAGGAACTGTGAGCCAAGACATTTTTCTTAGAGGGTAAAATTAACAGTGCACTTGAAATTCACTCCCATTGTATCCCAACATAAAAAACTGAGATGCATCTTTTACCCTTCAGTAGCTACTTTTCCACCCATATATATTTTACGCATATACGTTAAATATTTAGCTATGTACAGTATATATGGTAAAAAAAAGACTGGAAATGAATGTAAATAATGAAAATGACAAATAACTGGGCTCCCGAGTGGCGCAACCGTCTAAGCGTTGGCCCTATCATCAGGAGATTGAGAGGTCAATCCCTGGTGATGCTACAGCCATCCGTAGCTGGGAGTCCGAGAGAGCACAATTGGCCTCGCTCTCTCTGGGTGGGTAGGATGGCCCCTCCTTCTCCCCCCATCACTTAACGCGATGCTAGTCAGCGCAGGCGTCTGTTAGCTGACGTAACAGATCTGGCGGTTGGCGCTTTCCTCCGAGCGTGTTCAGCTGTCCAATGACATTGCTCGAAAAGAAGCGGTGGCTGGCTTCACAGGTCTCTGAGGAAGCCTGTGTTAGCCTTCACCTTCCTAGCGTTGATAGTATCGTGTGACTGGGGGAGTCCTAACTA